TGCCTTCCATAGATTGACAAATGGTCACATTTTCAATCCAGACAGCATCGTACAAATGCCAGCAAGAAGATTCATTTGTTCAGACTCAGCTTTGATTTCTTGTTTTTAATACTAGGGGATAAACCAAAACATAGTAATAAAAGAAGTAACTTCACCATTTATATGCTTCATTAGTTTCACTGGGAGGAAATTCCCAGGGCCTCTAGCTAATGTGGGAAGACCTGACCTCCTGAAAGGGAAGCACAGCTGTGCTGAGCTTTACTCAGAATAATGCATGATGGACTCAACATAATTCCCAGGGAAGAGCCCAGTCACGCCATTCATAACTCCCTCATACCAACCATCGTCATTCTTCTTGATGACATAAATAATGGCTCCTTCCTGAAAGGACAGCTCATCTTCCTTGTCTTTTGTATAATCATAAATTGCCACAACTGGGGGGAAAACAAAATAGGGTGTGAACGAGAATACCATTCCTAGGAAGACAAAACCACATAGGCACTCATAGACAGCAACTTTCTAAATTAAAATTTATATTCATGTTTTCTAATAAACCAGTTCAATACAATAAAACAGCCTTTTCTAGAAGAAGGTTCTAAATCCAGTATAAATGGCAAGCAAGCAAGCAAAAAAATAAAAAAATAAAAAAATAAATCACCTTTAGCTAAACTTACCCTTCAATGGCCTATAAGCAATCCAACTGCAGAGAAGAAACAATCTAAGGATCATGAAAGACAGCTATTCATTTGAACTTACACTAAGGCATCATGTTGTAAAAAAGAAAAGCCTATTTTTAAACATTATACTACTGTTGTGAGATACATTTATGAGGCAACTGAGAAATGAGACAGGCTAAAGGGACAGTAGGGCCACATCTCCTTTTCTGGACTCTGTCTGGGAATGGGAACTCAATTTCTACAAATTAAGTCCATTATACATACACTTTTTCTTTCAAAACATACACTGCATTATATTAGTAATTTAACACAGTCACAATAATGAAGTGCTAAGAGAGCCAGGACACCTCTAAGTTCCTATGTGCTTTTTATGGTTTCAGTCACTTGGCAATGGGTCTCTGAACGTTTATCTCAGACAGTCTCTAGTTCCTAATATTACATCTACCCTTAAAACTTTTGCTAAAATGGGATGCCTTAAACTTAACTCACATCCACTTAAGACAGTCTTTGTTCCAACCCCCTGTATCTTCTGCACACCATAAAGAACTTTTTTCAACAAAATCTCCATTTGGGCCAGTGAGATGGTTGGTAGGTAAAGGTACTACCACCAAGCCAGACAACCTAAACTTAAGTTCAGTTCCTGGGACCCACATATCAGAAGAGAATGAACTCCCACAAACTGCCCTTTGACCTCCACCATGGCACTCACACATGTCTTAAAACTTGAGAGCTGGAATGTATCCCAGTGGCAGAGTTCTGGCCCTGTGTTTCTGGACCACTTTGGTCCCTCACTGGGCTTCCCTCATGCATAATTATCTTCTATTATTGGGATACATTGAGGACATCAGAAAAAAATCTGTAGCAGCCTAACTTAGAAAAGTCAGGGCTGTGTTTCTCAAAATATCACTAAATGTCTAAAAATTCAGTCTGTTTAGGTACAAGAAAATTGGAATTAAAGTGTTTAGTATTGTCAGCCAATCAATATTTTCTAGGTATTTTTTTTTAAGAAAAGGCAACATTCTTGGTACTTAGAAAAACGTACCCACTGAGAAGTAATCTAGAAGGTAATTATTTTTATATTTTGTATCAACAGAATAATTTAGTAGACAAAGTTATTGCACTCAAGCGTGCATCTATTCTTTAAAATATAGAAACTGGAGGTTATGGATGTAGTTCAGTGGTAAAAGGACCAAGGTTCAGTCCACAGCGAAGGGAGGGAGAGAGAGAATGGAGGGAAGAAAGGGAGGGAAGAAAAGGAAAGGGAAAAGAGAAGACTAGAAAAAAATTGCTTCAGAAGGAGTTCATAACAAATATGAGTCCATGGACTCCGGGTGTAACAGTACAAGAGACCCTATTTTTTTTTTTTTTAAAGAGGACAAAATTAGTGGCCAACTGAAATTTTTATTTTAATCCCCCTCAAACAATGCTGTTTAAAATTACTATTCCAGGGAAACATAGACATCCATGAAATGTTAAACACCTGGCTATTTCTGTGTAGTTATGAGCAAAAAAATTAAAGGTGCCTGTATTTTTCTCTCAATATTAACTTTCAGTTCTTTCAGTATTAACATGAAAACACTCTAAATTCCAAGGTCAGTACTCCAGTGAGGAGTTTACTATATGAAATGCTTTGGTTGAGTAAAATTTAATATGAGCAATGTTAAGGAACGAAGAGGGAAAAGGAAATGGGAGGAGGAAGGAGAACTCGGGAGAGAATGGGAAGGTGGGACAAAGAGATGGTTCAACTGCTTTCTTTTATGAGAGATATAAATAAGGTAACACACACAGACAACAAACATCACACACTGAAAACTGCAGATACTGCTCATGGATCTGTTGCAAACACAGCACAAGAACCAGACCTTTCTAGATAGATCTATATTCAGCCAGTAGTAAGTATAACAGACATGCTTTAGAAGGGAGTGAGAATGGACTGGAGACGTATTGCTAAATGTGTTTTTTTTAACGTTTATTTTACGTGTATGGGTATTTTGCCTGCCATGTTCATCTGTGCACCATATGCATGAAGTGTCCAAAGAGGCCAGAAGGCCATGAGGACATCAGATCCCCCTCAGAATGGCAGTTCTGAGCTGCCATGAATGTGCTGGAAAGCAAATCAAAGTCCTTGGAAGAACAGCCAGTGCTCTTAACCACGGACCCATCTCTCTAGCTCCCCACCTTGCTTTAATAAACAACTTGAGAGCTGGGAAGATAGATAGCTCTGTCCATAAAATGCTGCATACTGCACAAGCATGAGGGCCTGAGTCTTACCCACAGCACCAACATCACAAGTCTGATGTGGTGACACATTTATAACTCTAGCACTGGGGAGATGGGAACAAGCAGATCTGGGTTTTGCCAGCCAGCTAGCCTCATCAACAATGAGATCTCAATGACAAACTCTGTCTCACAAAAATTTCCGAGGCTGTCTGGTGCATACGCATATACACTCTCACAAAACAACATGGCAAAACTAATTAACTGTCACTTCTGAGATTAGGTCAAAAAATGTATGTCCTGCCAACACACTTTCTCTGCCTCCTCTTGCTTGTTCATTCTAAGGAGGGAAATGTGAGCTGCCACTATGGAAAGACCCATGCAGCCCAGAACTGTGGGCAATCTGGCTAAGAAGGAAGCTAAGGTCCTCACATTAATGATCCATGATGAAATTAATCCTGCCTTATGCCAAATAAAACGTCTTGAGAGTACTTTCTCCCCTAGCCAAGTCTTAAAACAACTGTAAGCTTTAGCCCATACCTGAACCACTGCCACGAGAGGCTCCCTGAGTTACAAGGCCCAGCTAAGCCACACAGACAACTAGAAGAGAATAATATTGTTTAAGACAGTAAATTCTGGAATCATCTGTTAGATAGCAACTGACAACTAGAAGTCTCTTCTTCAGCTGTGGAAACGTTTTGACTATGATTGCTTCAAGTCTATTTTACGTTTTCTAGAAACTGCAAACAGTGTGTGTGTGTGTGTGTGTGTGTGTGTGTGTGTGTGTGTACACATGCACATATATACATATTTATATACATACATATATATGTATGTATATATATACACACACAAACACATACACACATATATAAAAGGAATACTATTTGATCTGGCCCTATTACCTACTGCCTTTTTTTGCTTTTTAAATTTTTTCTTTCTGCTTTGTGGTACAGTTTGGATGTTTCCATTGTCAGGGTGAAGGCTGCTGAACCTTTCTTCTGTAATGTCATTCTGGATAATCTACTTTTTATCTTCAAGAAGATCAATGTCTGTCTGTCTCTAAAAACATTGTTTCTTTCTCATGTTCAATGTCAACCTTCGTGACAATCTGTGACATTTATAAAAACCTACATAACTAGAAAGAACTGGCTGTCTTTTGTTTGGGGCCAGGCTATGCTACCAGTTGTCATTCTGTGTCTTAAGGGGCATTGTTTTGTATATTCCCCCTACCCCATTCCTGTTTGAAGAGTAAGGATAAATCTACTTACTGTTGCTCAATCTAAGTCCACTATTTAAGATTTATTGTTTCTAATTATGTGAATTTGTGTGTCTGTATCACAGTGTGTACATATGACTGCAGGTGCTCAGAGGCTAGAAGCATCAGATCCCACAAGAGCTCGAGTGACAGGTGGCTGTAAGCCATCATAGACATGGGTACTGGGAGCTGAATGTGGGTCCTCTACAAAAGCAGTACCTGCTCATAACTGCTGAGCCATTTGATCAGTCCCATAAGCTCTGTTTCTTCCTAAAAGCCCACTGGTAATTTATGATAGTTTGAATGAGAATGACCCCCATAGGTTCACATGTTAGAGCGCTTGGTCACTAGTTGGTAGACTGTTCAGGAAGAATTAGGAGTTGTGGCACTGTTGGAGAAGTTGTGTCACTGGGGGTAGGCTTTGAGGTTTCAAAAGTCCACCAGACCCAGGCCCACCCATACCCCTGTATCTCTTTGTCTGTCTCTCTCTGCCTGCTACTTGCATTATCAGGATGTGTAAGCTCTTACCTACTGCTCCAGTATTACACCCGTCTGCCTTCAACCACACTTCCCATATGATGATTATGGACTAACCCTAACTCTGAAACTGTAAGCTAGCCCCCAGTTGAATACTTCCTTATGTGAACTACCAAGTCATGGTGTTTTATCACAGAAACTAAAACATGATTCTAACATGTTCTGAGACATAGTGGATGGTTGCTTTGGTTTCTTTAACAATTTCCTTCTATATCAACAACACCCTCACCCCCACCTCACCCCATTCTAAGCTGGTTAGATTTTTGATTTTTTTTTTCTTTTTTCTTTTGATGCATGGTATGACTCTGTAGCCCTGGACCTCACCATGTACTCAGTCTGGCCTTGCCCTCCCAAGTGTTGGAGTTGTAAGTATGAGCCACCATGTAAGGCTGAACTGATTGATTAGTCTTCAGACTTGGGCACTCCTGTCCCAAGGTGCTATGTCATGGTCATGTAACAGAGACAATTTTACACACACACACACACACACACACACACACACACACACACACACACCATTCTACAGAAGAGATTGAGACATCTTCTTTGGAAGAAAGTTTCCTATGGAGATAATCAAACTTGAACATGTAAAAACAACTCAAAATTAACTGACAGTTCAGCACAGTGATACACACCTGTAACCCCAGTATGAGGTACAAGTAACAAAAGTTAGAAGCCAACCTGGGCTAACCTGGTAAGGCTGCTTCCAATAATGCTGATGATGATGGAAGAAAGTGCAGCGATACAAATAATTTGGAAAAATAATCCTCTTCCTGGGGATTCCAAAAAAAAAGTCCACTTGTTTTTTATTTTTGTGTCATATAATTTGTGAAAAGCAAGTTCAATAGTAACAGATAGACATAAAATTTTACCATATCAAAATCATATTTTCAAAATCATAAGCCCTATAAACTGACTGAATAACTAAAATGGAACAGATAATACAAATAAAGCTTTACCAGCAAGTCTCATTTCTATTTACAGATGTCTTCTCATCCCTCCAGACGACCTCATGACACTTACCCTTTTCCAAGTAAGACCTTGGAGCCCATGGTGGGTCCTCTTCAGCATAAGGATCACTGTACTCAACCACAGCTGCTTCCTCCTCTTCATAATCCTCTGGAGGTGGCGGTGGAGGCGGGGATTCATCAAAGACTGGCTCTTCCACAGGTGGTGGTGGAGGTGGTGTATCTGAAACTAAGAGTTTATCAAGCTGACAAACTATATAGTATGTAGAGTTCAATATTTATCTGAGCTTCCTGATTCATTAAATATAAACCCAGACTCAAAAATAATCATCTTTCAAAAACTGAATGCTAAGAGGAATTTTCCCACCATTATGTTTTCAATTGCCAAGCAAGACTTCTCCCTCCCTTTTGGGTTAAGTGTTGATGGATGTTGAGTGCGGTTTAGTCCAAAACTTTACTGTTAATTGGCCTCCAGAACCTTTCAGTAATAACACATAAGCCCTATAAATACTGATTATCTTTCTAAAGAAATGAGTACAATATAGTTGGGTTTCATTATCAAAGAATTATCAGAGATATTAATAACTTGAGTAATCACAATCACATAAGAAAGTAAAATGATGGGGACTGGAAGATGGCTCAGGGGTTAAGAGTACTGGCTGTTCTTCCATAGGTCCTGAGTTCAGTTCTCAGCAATCATGTAGTAGCTCACAACCACCTACAGTGAGATCTTGTGCCCTCTTCTGGCCTGCAGGAATACATGCAGACAGAACACTGTATACATAGTAAATAGACAAATCTTTAAGGAAAAACTAAAATGAGTCAAAGAAATAGTCAAATTTTTACAATCTGCTACTTTAGTCTCAGTTTTCTGTATATTTACTCAGACAAGTTCGCATTATATAACCCAAACTAGCCTCAAACTCACAACCTTCCTCCTCAACCCCAAGTGCTAGGATTATCAGGATTCACCACAACACCAGCCTGATTTTCATTAAACAGAGTTACATCAAACTGGGGTAACTTCAGTCATTACAATGTTTGTTTGCTTGTGGAATTTGAACTAATTCAGGTTTAGTCATTATTTAAATTTCTTGAGACTATATGTCCATATGTATTATTAGAATCAGTCTCATCGTATTGTAACATGTAAAAAAATCGTCTCCAAACCCAGAGAACTCAAAGCTGTCAAAATGCTTGGTAAATACTTGAACACAACAAAGCAAAAATAAATTTGCACTGACCTCAGTTTTAATCATCAGGACTCACTCTTACAGAATTGTGCGCATGAAATAAACTCTGAGCAGTCAGGGCACCAACACTGTGCTCTGCTACTTCAAGCATTGCTGTCTTAGAATTTTTTTAGTTTTGTTTGTTTGTCTTCTTAAAAATGTAACACAAATCCATGTTCTTACTATATTCTTTATTCAAATTTAATGTTTTTCATCGAACGGGGTGAAAGCAATAGTGAAACCTGTGTTCATATGAAGAGACTGAGAGCACAGAAATAGATACAAGGGATTTTCAGGAAAATCAGAGAAATTACACTATAAATTACTCAAAATTCCAACCCTGATCATTTCTGCCTTCCTTATAACTGCCTCAGAGCCAGACTGTTTTTACTTGTGCAGTATATCAGTTATCCAGCTGGTACTTTAAAATACATTCTTTTAGTTCATCTTTCCCTAAGACAACTCATTTTTACTTTTTTGTGACTATAGGGCTCAATCAAGATCCTTACACATTCTACACAAACCCTCCAAACTATACCCCCAAGCCACGGTCTTGTTTTTAAACTTAGTTTTATGGATGTGAAAAGAAGATAAATGTTCCTATAGCAACAGACAGAAGAGCACCCGAGCACTCCCCTCTGCGCATTACCTTAGAAGCCACACTATACTAGAAGATAAAAGTTGTAGCTCTTAAGGAATACTTCATCACCACTAAGTAAATAACACCCAAGAGCCTCATGTGGCTAGGACCTAGTTCCTGCACTGAGAAGAGTGTGGTGGGCAAATGTCACCAACAATATGGTGGGCAAGTGTCAGCAACATGCAACCAACCAAATTTTGATATAATTAAGTAGAGTGAAACTTTAAGAAATTATAGAAGCGTACGTCATAGACCAAATTCTTTATGTGGACCAGAAAAGGCTTCCTGAGACCTGATGAATGAGTCAAGTTAATGGCTGGGAGGTAGTAGGGCATGAGGAATAGACGTTCAGGTTGGTTGTAAAGAATAAAAATGCTTTTTCGAAGTACAGAGATAAAGCAGGAAGGAAATTTTCAAAGAATCATCCAAAGTTGGGCAGGCAGAGGAAGCCTAAAGGTCTCGGGACAAAAGGGTTTGCTAAGTTTGGGCTCTACTCAATGAGTAACAAGGGGCCACATGAGAATTAAAAATAATAATAACAGGGGTATAATTGTGCATTTTATCACAGTGTAAGTGGTTTAATAAAGTAAATAATAAATATTCCAAGTGATTCCAGACTCTTCCACATATTAAATTTAATGCAAAAAAAATTAGTTCCATAGACTATCTCTAAACTAATGCCTAGAAAGCCGTAAGATGAATCTAAAACAAAGATACACATCTTCCAAGGTGCATGTTTTGAAGAAAATAACATTCCTTTGAATGTATAAGCCTTGCTACAACTGCTAAGCTAGTCCTAGCATACCTCACACACAGGGAGAAAGGAGGAACTGAAGGAAAGAGACTCAACAATCAGTTATGATAGGAGCCAAATTAGGAGAGGTTTTAACATAGTAACAGTGCTGCTATGACAATGTTTTACAATTGTCCACATAACCAAAGTTCTGAACACCTCTGTGATCCAAGTACTTAAATAACTTAAATTAAAACACTACTTCTACCCATGAAATATTTTTTGATGTTTCTACAAACCTCACAGCTTTCACTAATTACTGGTAAAAAACTAATGACTAATTCCGTAATTATATTCAACTTTGAAGTCCAACTTTTGAAGAAAATATTCTAATAGTCTTCAAGGTCAGTTTCAAAATCTGAATGCTCACTGTGTCTGATTTAAAAAACAAAAAAACAAACAAACAAACAAAAAACTTCCCCACTTACTATCCAACTGTCTTCTTTAATCAATGAACTTAAACTGATTGTGATGGAGGAATGTCACTTTTACTGTAATGACACTGCAACTAAATCGAAAGTCCTTCAGATTTGGAACTCCACAAAGCCTTTTCTAATCACTCTGGTCCAGGAAATTTTAAATGCAATATCTTCTAAGCTACACTTAACCTCAACGCCTAGCCAAGGGTCATACCATTGAGGTGCTTGGCACACACTAGACTAACAAATCATTGCTATGAGAACACTTTCTCCTGAAGCCAGCATGGGTCACATGCAAGCCAAAAGAACAGTAGGCTGCTAAGGCATAATTTAAAAACATAACATAAAAAATACACTTGGACATACATGAAGACAGCTCTTAAATTTAAGAAAACATCTTTAAAATTATGTTTTAAAACTAACAGATATTCAAAAGAATAAACAAACTATTTTAGACTCCAGCAAACAGAAAAGCAAAGGCACCTGGCACATTCAACCCTTGGGCACTATGCTGGCTACTTTTATGTCACCTTGACACAGTCATTTTGGAAGAGGGAACATCAATTGAGAAAATGGTCGCCAGACTGGCCTACGGCAAGCCTGGGATACATTTTCTTGATTTATGATTGATGTGAGAGGGCCTAGCCCATTGTGAGTGTGGCAGTCCCTGGGCTGATGGTCAGGAGTGCTATAAGAAAGCAAGCTGAGCAAGCCTCCACATCAGCCCCTGCCTCCACGTTCCTGCCCCACTTAGTTCCAGTCCTGACTTCATTCAGTGATGGGCTGTTACCTGGAAGTGTAAGTAAAATAAACACTTTCCTACCCAAGTTTCTTTTGCTCATGGTGTTTTATCACACCAATAGAAACCCTGACTTAGATGGGCACTAAGACTGGATTACAACCAGTTAAAACACAAACACAAAATATAAAAAGGGAGGTCCCCAAAGTGCCTGCTATCAGCCAGACATTTCTAAGTGCCAATGATATGAACAGCACACAAAATGAGCAAAGCCCCTGCTCTGACAGACTCTACTATGAAATGTCTACTTCCAGGGAACCCTAGCAAGAGATTATAATTCCTTCTAGTCCATGAGTGGCACCATCCTTTATATGAATGGTGCACAGTGGGCTACTACAGCCTAAGGACACTGTATCTTAAAATACAATGTGACCCTTGAACAAAGAGGATTACAGCACCTCTCCCACAATCACCAACAGTCAGAAATGCTGTGAATTTGTCAACTAATGCAAATCTTCCAAATGTGTAACATACAGTGGAAAATGAGAGATCACAATCACTCTCAACACCCTTCCCACCCAATGGTAGAAATTAATCCTAGGGCTTTTGCACATTAGGCAAGTGCTCTACCAATAATCTATACCCCACCTTAGGGAGAACATTTTTTTAACCGAAATAGATAATTTAGTGGGAATGCAGGGATAATTGGCCTAACTATGTTGTAAGCAAATGTAGGTTACACAGTGTTACAGGAGTAAAACAACACAGGTTAATTTTATGCAGCTATGATTTCAGTAATACTGGATCTTTACATTTGTTTATATCACTATTACAAATGAGGTCACATGTGACCTGTGGATGTTTTTCTGATAAAATTTTAACTTTATGGATATTTTGTGGATTTGTCATTATTGAAATCTGTGATGTGGATGTGCAAACTAGTTGTCTGTCCTTTACTATCAAACAATTCAAACCAATGTTATTCAAGGATCAACTCTAACTCCCCTAAGTTTAGATTCCATGACATGTAACTTTATGTCTGATGTGACCCCTAATCACCTATTACAGAGATGGTTTATTTCTTTCTGTAACAGCTATTTATCACAAATGTGGACACAGGCCTCCCAATGTAGAAATATAAGTCTCCAGAGCTGCCTTATCGCTTCCCCAGAAGACTTGACATACCAATAAAATGAGTTCTAAGACTGTACATGACTCAACAGCAGGCCCCAAACCAAAGAAAATCCACTGCCAATTTATGGCTGCTTCCTGGGAGACAAACTGGCAGACTGATCTTCTATGTCCTACTATGGCACGATCCTTTTTATACTTAGAATGGGAGAGAGTGATACACACAGGCCACCTATCACACACATCTATGACTCTAGTAGTAGCAAACTAGTCTACCACTTTGGTCTAGGCAACTGAGAAAAAAAAAAAAACAGAATGTTTATTTATTTGGCAATTAGAATATCTTCTCATGCAGTTTTTCTTCTCTTGTATTTATACTAATTTATGTGTGTTTATTTGTCTTCCCTTAAAAACTGTCTCAGCAGTAGGATTTTAGCTACAGTTCTGGGGATTGGTCCTGGGGTCTCATGTAAGCTAAGCAGGTGCTCTATGCTATCGCCTCCAAAAACTACCATTTTAAAGCTATTTAAAAGCAGAGAAATTTACTACCATTATCTTTTAATTTTATTTTTAATTATGTAGTTGTGGATATGTGCATGTGAGTGCCAGTGTCTGCAGAGATCCTAAGTGTGGGATCCTCCTGGAGCTGGAATACAGGTCCTCTGCAAGAGTAGGACACTCTCTTAGCCCACCTCTATTGTGTTAGCATCACCACTAACCATTCTTACAATGACTTACTCAAATACATGAAGCATTAGTGAATGACTCTTCAGTCAGTCATGTGTAAATTATATTCTAGGCCTATAATCTGAACTACAGCATAAAGAAGACATAAACTTACTATTTTCTTGGACTCTGGCCACAAATCCCATTAAAGGTAACTGAGGAGTTACCTGTAGGATGGAAGGAGGAGGAGGAGCAAGAGATACTGCAAAAACAAAAAAGGTGTGGAGGAAGGGGTAAGGGCAAGTTCTATTAAAAGAAAGGATAATACAATAAAACATATAAAGGAGGAAAACCACTTTTCACACACATTTGTCTACCTTACAGATCCACTTTTGAGGGTAACTTTATAAACCAAACAACACACTAGAGAGTTTTAGTAAGCTTTATAACTATAGCAGAAACTGTTTATGATGCACAGATCTGCTCTGTGTAGTGGGAACCAGTCTTCTTTGTATCTATTACAAGTGCTTTCTCTGTTGATTACCATCAAAAATTTGGTTTTCTGAATTTTAGCTTGAAAGTTACAAAGTTGGATGTTTGCCAGGAGAGGAGAAAAATACGGCATCCCAACAACCTAAATAGGGTTGTATTACTTCGGTAACAAATAACAGGCTTTAACTGGATCTTCATTTAGCTAAACAAGTATGACCTGAGCTCTGACTGAGGGGCAAGAACTCTGCTAGACCAGTTATCAGAGCCTTTCATTTAGAGTCAGATAACCCCAATTCATTGTATTTCTTCCTTAAGCCTACAGAAAACACCACTTCTCCCAGGTGCATTACTCCATCTCAAATGCCTGGCACACTGTAGGAATACTGTAAGCCTTCAACAGATTATTTATATATGAACAATTAAGTAGGGTAAATAACCTAAATAATTTTTAGAAAGTTAACTCTAAAGTTGCAGTTCCCTTCAGAAAGCATATATACTATGGTAGCCATGTTCTTAGTGAGATTCTCTATTTGGTCCGAAATAAACGCACGCACGCACGCACGCACGCACGCACGCACGCACGCACGCACGCACGCACGCACGCACGCACGCACGCACACACACACCGCCACCGCCATACAATAATCCTTGTCTAACTTCCCAGGAAGCATTGCTAGCCACAAGGAGGAAGGCAACAGAGAACTGATCTCTGAACAAGTGCTTGAAGAAAAGACATATGCTAAGCAGACAGAAGTTGAGAAAGATATTCAAGCTTAAGGAACCAAGTTAGGGCAAAGGCTTAGAGACATAAAACAGCACGAGCAGAATTCACAGGACCAAAAATGTTTCCTCTATATGGCTAGAAGATATGTTTAAAAATTAAACCAGGCAGTGGTGGCACACATCTGTAATTCCCAGCACTCGGGAGGCGGAAGCAAGCTGATCTCTGAGTTTGAGGCCAGCCTAGTCTACAGACAGAGTTCCAGGACAGCCAGGGCTGTTACACAGAGAAACCCAGTCTCTAAAAAGCAAGCAAGCAAGCAAGCAAACAATGTTACATTTTCTGTGTTTAGATACCATGACAATTAGATTCTCTGGATCTGGTCCATAAATATGATATGGGAAACAGATAATGCAACCCTATTTCACAGAGTGAAAGCAGAGATTTTATTTCAAAAGCTTAATTCAATAAATCAAGGCAGATTCTAGAAACAAAAGAAAAACTTAGTTACATGAGGTAAACCAGTATCTGATAACTAGTGATTTAACTAGCATACAAAGGACAGCAAAAAGGCAAAGGGATTATAGACTTTTAGCCTCATAGTTAAAGTTAAAGAAGCTATTAACTCACTAACCTTGGCAGTGAAGTACTGGAAAAGCACAGGGTAGTGAGTGTAGGCAGACCAGGGAGAGATGAAGACATAACAAATGGGATGCGTGAGAATAACAAGCATAAAAATGAGAAACAACAGGAAAATACGGGTGGGGTATATTAAAACTCAAAGCCAGTAGCTATCAGTAGAGTGATAACGGCTGACAGTATGCACAGACATGCAAAATACACAGAGAAAAGCTAAGCAGGCCATTTTGAAGAGTGTCTAGACATAAGAAAACCAGCATAGCCTCAGAATTTGGTCCCCCTCTTCAAAAGCTGACTTAGGCTTTAGGTTTTTCCATAAAATCACACTTCTTGGCAGTAAACCCCTTCCTCTGAAGACTGGGGTTATTGGTGACACATGTGCTCCCACATGCTGCTGGGAGACAGTGAGCAGAGTGGGAGCAAGATGGCAGCTGCAGCTGTGAACACAGCACATGGCGCAGGACAGCAGCAAGGGAGCCCGCTGCCCGGACATCACATCCTGTGACATCCAACACCTTCTGACAGCAGACACACCAAACTTCCTTCCTTCCTCTTAAACAGAAAATGGGACTCTCTTCAGTTACTGTTTATCCATCAAAGAAAACCTTAACTTTTGTACTTGGCAAAAGAAAAAGTACATGTGTAACTTTACGGTCTTTTTACAGACAAACTGGGCTTATTAATTTTTGAAGATGAATATGCCTTCTTTTCTAGACATGAGACTACCATGCTTTTAAGAAAGCCACCAAAAGCAGTCACAGAAAAGCCAATCTCAGACCTTCCTTAAAGAGAATTACTCTGAAACAAGTTGTTTTTCTAGGCTACTCTCAGGAAAATTTCAAAAATCCATTGTGGTAGTTTCAAAGAAAATGGCCCCCTATAGGGAATGGCGCTAATAGTAGGTGTGACCTTATTAGAGGAACTGTCAGCATGGGCAGTGGGGGAGTCTCCCATGAGGTCTCCTATGCTCCAGCTCCACGCAGTGAGACACGGTTTCCTTCCTGTGGCTTGCAGATCAAGATGTAGATCTCTAAGCTCCTTATCCAGCAAAATGTCTGCCTCCATACTGCCATGTCCTGCCATGAAGATAATGACTAAAACCTCTGAGACTATAAGCCATCCCCAACTAAATGTTTTTCTTTGTAAGAGTTGCCATGGTCACAGCATCTCTTCACAGCAAGAGAAACCCTAAGACACTCATCTAACCAGAATTCAGTTCTACCTGGTCCTGTGCATTCCTGTGAACAGAAAAGAACACGAAGTGCAAGCTGTGGTATAACTCAGTAGCAGAATGTGTGCTTCCTATGCCAGACACTTTTAAATTCCATCTTCAACAACCACAAAAGAATAGAGAGCAACTTCATGGACTTGTATATTCCCATTATTTACCCAAGATGTTTCCCCATTTGCTAAGACCTACACCCTAGAACCACTGAAAGATCTCTGAATTTAGAATGAGTTACATTATTTTTATTAAAATACAATGTTGACAGGCTAGAGATGGCTCAGTGCTTAAGAGCATTGGCTGCTCTTCCAGAGGACACAAGATTAATTCTGAGCACCCACACAGCAGCTCACAATCATCTGTAGCTTCAGTTTCATGGGATCCTAGACCTTTTTCTAGCCACTGTGGGCACCAAGTACTTATGTAGTGACTGCACTGACATACCTGCAAGCAAAACACCCACACACATAAAACAGAAAAAAACAGCAATGCTGTAGCTAGAAGAGACTTACCAGGAGACTGAGATGCTGGAGATCTCAAACTGTGCAGCAATGAGAACTACAGTGTTGTATAGAACAGCACTGAGACACTAAAATAAAAAGCTTTCCCAACAAAACAGATTCAGAGGGTGAATGTGCTGGTGAAAAAGACTTCACAAATATGTTCCCTAATGGTTTCAAAGTCCTCTGAAGCATCCTTGAGGTGATACTTCAAATATCCATTTCAAGAGCTTTAGAGCAATAACGTTATGCTTTTACATTTTTTTTTTCCCCCCAGAGACAGGGTTTCTCTGTGTAGCTTTGGCTGTCCTGGAAATCCCTCTGTAAACCAAGCAGGTCTCAATGATGAACATTACCTTTGGTAAAACATTAAATTTAGTTACTGGCATTTTACATTTCAGGAAGGGAAACAATTTGTGTATTTTATTTTACAATATATTTCCTGGGCTGGAGAGATAGATGGCTCAGAAGTTAAGAACACTGGCTGCTTTTCCAGAGATCCTGAGTTCAATTCCCAGCAACCACACAGTGGCTCACAACCATTTGTAATGAGATCTGGCATCCCCTTCTGGTGTACAATAATACATGCAGACAGAACATTATTATGTATACATGATAAATAAATCTTTAAAAAATAGTGCCATAAAATATATTTCCTTAAAATAAATATCAGCCTAGATCGAGGGAGACCTAAAAGATAACTTGAGTAGTCAGTAAAAAGAAGGCTGCCTGCTGACACAACTGGGGTCATAAAGAACTGTCAGTCTTGCAGGGTCAGAATGTCTTAGAAACTTAGATCACCTTGACATTCTTTTTCAAATACAAAGTCACCAAAAGCTGTTATGCCAAGAAAAATTAGCCGATTATGCCTTACATTTTAAAAATATAACTTGAGTTTAATAGGCAGTACTGAGGGTTTATTTGTTTTATTGGTCAACTGAGAATGTACTTAACTTTGGCTATGTTTTTTGGTTTGGTTTGATTCTGTTCTCCCCTAAGAACTATCTACAATAGTGTTCAAAGACAGCTCCTTGTTACTGCTCCTGTTTACTATCACACACCAATCTCTAGATAACACTATATTAACTTCATTGCCTTTAGCAGTAGTTCTCAACCTGTGAGTCAAGACACCTTTGGGGGATCACATGGCCCTTTCACAGGGATCACATAGCAGATATCCTGCATGTCAGATATTTACATTATAATTCATAACAGTATCAAAATTACAGTTAGGAAATAGCAACTAAAGTAATTTTATGGTTGGGAGTCACCACAACATGAGGAACTGGATTAAGGAGCCACAGCAATAGCAAGGTTGAAAGCCAGTGGCTTAAAGAATAGTGCAGATCAACCATCCAACACTGCTTTTTTAGTATTTCTATTTACATCCCCAGGAGGAAAATAACTTTAAATACTTTAAGATTATAAAACTTCTACTTTAAGAAACACTGATTACTCTAGGTTAACTGCTACAAAAGGCTTCATACTTGAAAATTGTATGATTAATTCTTACTAAAGTAGGCTCATTATGTATGTATAAATACATATGCAAAAAACACATGTAGCTATATATGCATTCTTTAATACCAAGGTGCTTCATGTTCTTAACAAGTGGTTGTGTTTCTGTAGCTCTCCTCACTGTTGACAAATGAATTTAAAAATCAATTTCTGATATAGAGGAATACTCCCTGAGCCAAGACACATGGAGGTAGGCCTAGGCCCTATCCCAAAGGATACGACAGACTCTGATGACACCCTATGGAAGGCCTCACCATCCAGGGGGAGCAGAAAGGATATGTGATAGGTAAGGTTTTAGTTGGGGGGTGGGGTAGGGGAGGATTGGTGGAAGAAGGAAACTGGGATTGTCATGTAAATCAATCCTGTTTCTAATTTAAATAAAAATAAATAAATAAAATCAATTTCTGTGATTTTTAGATTTTAAAAACAGAATCAAGAGTGTTTAGTAATGTTCTAATCAACATTTGTCTTCAGTAACTTGTTTCTAATGTTTATAAATTCTTTAGAGTACAACTACTGCTTCCTTGAACTTGGCCCTAAGATTTCATATTTTAATTCCTCTTAAACCTTGCTGTATCAGAATCAAAACAAACCACACATTAGGAGGAATGCTGTCAAATTTATACCCCACAGAACCCCACTGCCTTCTCAAACCCCATTCTTTAGAAGCATACATCCATGGCAAGGCTATGACTGCAAAATACAGGTTCATAAAACATAAGCATCATTTTGTTCACAAAATGATTCACTAAGTATTAAGTCTTGCAAAAGAAGTTGTCAAATTAAAAAAAAAAATGCATGGAGATGAGGTGCAGGAAAATGACAGAACACTTGCTTAGCAAGCTCAAGGATCATGGTTCAAATGCCAGAGACCTCTTCCACCAAAAGAACATAATACAGTTTTGTTTTATTTTTTAAGTAAGTTTCAAAAACACTAATTACAGTTAATATTAATTAATACTAGCTCATTATAATTAATTATAGCATGGAGCTATAATTTTCTTCTTTAAAGTTACCGAATTCCAAGAGAAGAAAGGCAGAACTTAGAGTACAGAACTAAGCTGCCTCTCATGGCCCCAACAATTCCAGTTCACCTTATTCCTTGAGTATGTAAAGTACTTACATTAAAATCACTCCCTAAAGATTTAATTCAACTTTAAAATACATTGTGGAATATATGAATCTGATTTATAAGTAATATTATTGAAATATGAAATCTTTAGTACATTAGAAATACAAGTCGAGGGTAGAGCACTTGGCTAACAAATACAAAGCACTAGACTCGATCTTTAGTACTGCAAAATCTAAATACATGAAACATGTTTAAACAGTTGTCAAATATTATGCACAGAGTTCTCATAGGACTACCGAGTATATACACATAGCATGAAATATTCCTCCATATTCTTAGTAAGTATCCTGTACAGCTGGTATCACAACTGTAACAGTGAAACCTTTCCCAAATTCATTATAGATCTAAACCATTTTAGATTAATATCTTTTTTCAAAACCTTATAGAACATAAGAAAGGTACAAGGGACTGTGAGCATAATTTCCAGATACCTAAGAGAGCTAGCCCATCTTTCACAGAACTACTAAACAGCAAGTAAATAAAATTTAAGGATTGGGGGGGGAAGCATTTAATGGTCATCATGGGACTCTCTCGCTCTCTCTCTCTCTCTCTCTCTCTCTCTCTCCCTCTCTCTCCCTCTCTCTCTCTCTCCCTCCCTCCCACCCACTCACTCACTCACACCGGAGGCTGAGGCAGGAGGATCCTGTGACACCACAAGTTCAAAACCAGTCTAAATAAGACATATTTTTTAAGTGGTGGAGAATATTTACATACAAAACAGCAAGTTGTAAAACACAACTAGAAGCTGGGTGTTGGTGGCGCACGCCTTTAATCCCAGCACTCGGGAGGCAGAGCCAGGCGGATCTTTGTGAGTTCGAGGCCAGCCAGATCTCCAGAGTGAGTGCCAGGGATAGGCTCCAAAGCTACACAGAGAAACCCTGTCTCCAAAAAAAAACAAAAAACAAAAAACAAAAAAAACAAAACAAAACAAAAACCCACAACTAGAATTAGAGTAAGTAGCATTTTCTGGCAAAATTTAAGATGAAATGAATTTTTAGGAAGAACACAGCCTAAAACACTAAGCATGAAAAAGAAATATATTTCAATTAAAGCAATTATGTGGATTCACACTGCATTTTGCACTGGCTAAACTACAAATACAGCATTCAATAAATGAGAGGCATACTACATCCTGTATGACATTTTTGTAAAAGGAATTACAGAATTTGGCAGTGTCCATTATATTCTGAAACTTACACCCTCAACTTAGTAAAAACCTCTTTAAAATAAACAAACAAATAAATGAGAGGCACCCAGGAGAGTAAAGGAACTTGGAAAAAGAAACAAGGTTTCGCCAGGCGTTGGTTGCCCACGCCTTTAATCCCAGCACTCGGCAGGCAGAGGCAGGTGGACCTCTGTGAGTTCAAGGCCATCCTGGTCTCCAGAGCGAGTTCCAGGATAGGCTCCAAAGCTACATAGAGAAACCCTGTCTCAAAAAACCAAAAAAAAAAAGAAACAAGGTTTCATTTCATATTCAGCAGTATTTTTTAACAATTTTCTCAGGACAGGACTGCATAAAGACTAACAAGGACTCGGGCTTCTCTTCCTCCACAAGAAACAGAGAGGATCTGGCAGGTGACGAGCAAAAAACCTTTTAATCTGAAGGTAGACAGGACATGACGATAGAAAACGTATGAAATACAGAATCAAAACGCATTAAGTTCAAGTCTATCTTGACCATCACCTTGGCCTTGGTTTCATATAAAAAGTACATATGCAAATACTACCATTCTTGGGGCCAGAGAGATTGCTCAGCAATTAAAAGTGCACAACTGCTCTTCCTGAGGACCCAGATTCAATTCCCAGTACCCACATGGCAGCTCACAACCATCTGCAGCTCCAGTTTCAGAGGATACAATTCCCTCTTCTGGCTTCCGTGGGCATTAGGCACATACACGGTACACAAACATATGTACTTCCAAGCAAAACACCCATATACATACAAAATTTTTAAAAATTAAATAATTATCACCAACCTTATTTCCTATATATGAATCAAATGAGACAAATAGTAAGAAAGTCAATTTTTTTGCAAGATTCTGAAGAGTATAACTAAAGTTTCACTAACTAAAGATAGCAGCTACAGTAGATAAATTTCTGCTCTATAAATTCAAGGCTTATGAGAGATGAAATGATCTGTCCCCAAAATCAGAGAAACTCACACACACTTAATTATCTCTTAGCAAAAATTAAAAACCAACAGTAAGTTGACATATTACATTCATGTAGTCAAAGACACCTAAAATTTTCTAGGAAATGAATAAAATGCTGATTATGTGTAGCACTAAGTGTGCAAGGTTAGCTTTTCTATATATATGATTCAATTCTTTATTTCAATTGTTATATCTGGATCAATTTCTCCAAGTCCCTCATACTCAGCGTATTTTGATGTGGTAACTGAGTTAAGACAATGTGACTGCCTAATACACCTTCATGTATACCCAACTTTATTTGTAATTCATAAAACAATGATGTCTTAATAAACAAAAAGAAAATACTGCTCTTCTATATACTCCACTTGCGACAGGATCTCACTCTGCAGCCTCGATGGCCTACTCTCCCTGCCTCTGCCCCAACAGTGCTAAAATAACAAACATGCACTTGCGTGTCCATCTCAGTATTTAAGCTTGTAAAAGCAAATGATCATACACTGAAAATGACTACATTCAGGGGTGGAAAAAAAGGAACTCAAGATAGTTATTGACTTTTTAAAGTGGAAACGGTATTATTAAAAACTTAGTATTCATTCATTCATTATTCTAACCATTCAAAAATAATTGTTTTATTTATTATCTGTATTTTATGTACATGGGTATTTTTCTGTGTGTATGTCTGAGAGTGTCAAATACCTTGGAGTTGGAGTTATAGACAGTTGTGAGGTGCCATGTGGGTGGGGAATTAAACCTCGGTCCTCTGGAAAAGCAGCCAGTGTTCTTAATCGCTGAGCCATCTATCTCTCCAGCCCCTCAACAATAATCTTAACTACCTATTACCTTTGGGATAACCACCTACTATGTATGGGTTAATCATGTGTAACTAAAAACTTTTTTTTTCCCCCGGTTTTTTTAAGGTGCAATGACAAAGAAATGGAAAGAAATGGCAAAAGGAAAGTCTAACCTGGATTCTGGTTATAAAAGGGGCCTCCATTCATCTGACTCTGAAGGCTTGTCTGTGAAGTTATGGAAGGAGGCCGTCTATAGGGCAATGAGCCCCCTATTGTTGGTGGTGTATGGCGAGAGGCAGGCCTATTCATGCTGTAGAACTGAACGGGATGACCTGGGAAAGGAAAAGAACACACACATGCATCATTAAAAGAATCTTATTTCAGATAATGAAATACTTTATGTACAGTTTCTAATAAGATTACTAAAAATAACAGTATTTAGCCAACTCAATGCAAGATGACAGCTGTTGTGCTGCTCACACTGTATTAAAGCACAGAAGTAGGAAAGTAAATAAAAATATTAAGTTTGGAAAAGTTACAATCTAAATCAAAAACTAACATTTTGACTTTCTTAATCATTTGACTATGTTTTAAAAACACCACAATTATACCTGGTGGTGGTGGCACACACCTTTAATCCCAGCACTCAGGAGGCAGAGGCGAGGGATTTCTGAGTTCGAAGTCAATTTGGTCTACATCGAGTTCCAGGACAGCTAGGACTACACAGAGAAACCCTGTCATGAAAAAAACCACAAACCAATATCCAAAAAAAAAAAAAAAAAATCCACAATTAAAATTCGTATCTGTACTATAGAGTGTGTCACCCAAAGCTAAATCTCCAGTGCAGTGTTTCTCAACCCAGGGGCTGCAAATCAGAAATCCTACATATCAGATATTTACATTGCAATTCATAATAGTAGCAAAATTACAGTTATAAGTAGCAACAAAAATGATTTTATTGTTGGGGGGGGGTCACCACAACATGAGGAACGGTATTAAAGAGTCACAGCATTGGAAAGGTTGAGAACCACTGGGCTAGAGCATCAGTGTTGAGAGGGAACAGCTTTAGCCAGCAATTAGGTCATGAGGGCTTCACTTTCATGAATGAATAATACATTATCAAAAGAGTAGGTTTTCTCCTTTTTTTCCTATGTACATAATCTCTCACCAGAGAAGACCCCTTGATACTGGACATTCTGCCTCCATAACTATGAGCTAAACAGACTAATATAATTTATAAGTAATCTACTCTGCAGTATTCTGCTACAGCACACAAAACAGGTAAAATTCCCCTTCCTCTCCAAAAAATAATTATTTAAAGTAGTCACTAAACACTAGAGAGTAAACAAGAATCACATTTTGGGAAAGAAAAAAGAAAAATGTTTGATACATTCTTATTCTAAACTAATGGTAGAGATAAGTTAGCATGGAAAGTTGTTTTAAAGGAAACAAAATATTGCAACAAAATGCTTGATGCAGTAACTCCAAGTCAAGCTTATCTTTATAAAATATTCATCTTCCTGAAGCTAGAGAATGGCTTAAAAACAGTTTATTAAATCTAAATCAAAATGTGTTACAAGAGCTAGTTCCAGGACAGCCTCCAAAGCCAGAGAGAAACCCTGTCTCAAAAAAAAAAAAAAAAAAAAAAAAAGTATTATCAGAAATCTACCCGTGTTTATTACACATTTGAACCTATTTCACCTTTTCAGAATTATTCACTGCTAACATCAACTGGAAATATTCTTTCCTAATCCATCCAGTTTCCTAATAATTCAAATCTCAAATTTTACCTTGCTTTTCTGTTGGAGACTATTATTTTAAGGGGTGTTACTTTTGATTATGGTACATTTGTTTAAAACTCTGGGAAGATGTTACTGTGCCTGTCTAAAACACCAGAGGGTTTAATAAAGTGCTGAATGGCCAATATCGTGGCAGGAGAGAGGAATAGTTGGGACTGGCAGGCAAAAAGGATAAATATGAGGAGAAATCTGGGAGAAAAAAAACATCTGGGAAGCCGGGCATTGGTGGCGCACCCCTTTAATCCCAGCACTCGGGAGGCAGAGCCAGGCGGATCTCTGTGAGTTCACGGCCAGCCTGGTTTCCAGAGCGAGTGCCAGGATAGGCTCCAAAGCTACACAGAGAAACCCTGTCTCCAAAAACAAAAACAAAAACAAAAAGGATCTGGGAATGAGAGAGGAAGGAGGAGGACTTCAGGGGCCAGCCCCTCAGCCACACAGCCAGCCACAGAGAAAGAATAAAAGTAAGATTTACAAAAGAAAAGGAAAAAGACCAAAAAAAAAAAAAAAAAAAAAAAAAAAAAAAAAAAAAAAAGTGGGGGGGTGGGGGAAGACAAGGCAAGCCAAGGCCGAGCATTCCTAACTAAGAATAAGCCTCGGTGTGGTGGTGCCCCCCCTCCCAAAAAAAAGAGTAAAACATCACACCACACCTTTCCCCTCAGTTGGTCTCCACTCAGCCAGGGGCCCTTTGTAACAAAGCATTAGAGCACCCATGAAAGAATACACTCTAGCGGGCAACAAGGCATGGAAAGGAGAAAGGGAAAACAGGAAGACAGGAGAAGGAGGAGATGGTATATGATGAGAAAAGGAGAAAGAGGCAGAAAACAAAGAAATAAAGGCAGAAAGAAAAGCATTCATATGTTACTAATACTAACCTAGAATCTTCAAAAACAAAAACAAAAAAAAAGTAGGATCCAGTCTAAAACTCATCTGTCTTAAGTCTACAGTGAGATTCAGAGACACTAGATTAAACAGGGCACTATTTGCTAGAACACTGGCTCAGTAGTTAAGAGCACTGTTGCTCTTGCAGACCTGGGTTTGGTTCCCAGTACCCACATAGCAGTTCACAATTGTACTCCTATTAACTACAGTTGCAAGGAATCCAATGCCTTCTGCTGATGTCCTCAGGCACCAGGCAAGCATTCAGGACAATAAAGAAAAAAAATAAACAAAAAAAAAAAAAAAAAAAAAAAAAAAAAAAGACAGTTTCTCTGTGCAGCCCTGGCTGTACTGGAACTTGATCAATAAACCAGGCTGGCCTTCAACTAGAGACCTGCCTGCCTCTTCCTCCCGAGTGCTGGGATTAAAGGTGTGTACCACCACCATCGTTAAAAAGACACCTATTTATATAAAGTTAGGTCCATTAGCAGCCCACCCCCAAAAAGATACAAGAAAGGAGGTCTAGCCTCAGCATTCATTAGATATGCAAATTAAAACTCAATGAAAAGTAAAGTAAGTTTAAACAAACAACAAAAAAAGTACGGTTATTTGGGAAACTGGTAGTTTCTTTAAAGGTTAAATATTCCAAGCATATGGGGCATGTCTTTAATCCCACCACTGAGAGGCAGAGGCAGGCACCATGCCTGGCCAAGTACCTATTATTAAATTATCATTTAATTACTAAAATTCTTAGTTAAGGGTCAATTATTATTTCTTTGTCTATAGCATTAATAAAATTCCTATATTAAACTACCTGGGCTAGTGTAACAGAATTGCATATCTCAATCAAATGACTGCCTATATTTTCACTCATCCACTACAGAAAAGTCTTCTTCCTAAGTACTACATAGAAGCTATCACAATAAAACATCATCCAAAATCCAATTTGGACAAAGATGTCTTTTAAAACATGTTTTATTAGTAGCCAGGTGATGGTGGCACATGACTTTAATCCCAGCAATTAGAGGCAGAGGCAGGTGGATATCTGAGTTTGTGGTCAGCCTGTTCTACAGAGTGAGTTCCAGGACAGCCAAAGCTACACAGAGTAACCCTGTCTGGAAAAAAAGAAAACCTATTTACTAACTAGCATCATATTAACTGTTCAGTGTATGTTGAGGTAACTGAGTCTTTACCAACTATCCCAGCAAAACTTATTTGAGGTTGAGATCCTTAAAAGAATGATTACATTTATTTATTAGGCAGGTGCATTCATACCACAGAGTGTGTGTGTGGGTGCATGCATGAGTGCCTGTGTAGGTGAGAGAACGAACAACTTACAGGAGCTGGTTCTCTCTTCCCACCGTTATGGGTCCCAGGGATCCAAAGCTCCTTGTTAGGCTGGGCGGCATGCCCTTTATTTGATGAGTCATCTCCCTAGCACTAGGTTGAAATCTTAAATAAAAGACCAGTCAACTTAAATAATCCTCAAGTCCTTTGGAAGCACAATTAATGAGTTTCTGGTACTGCTAAAATACAAGCAAAAATTCCATTATAATAAACAGAGGTTTGTAATTTTCGATATAAAATATTACATTAAAATATATTTTTCAGGTGGGCAGTGGTGATGCACACCTTTAGTCCCAGAACTTGGGAGACAGAGGCAGACAGATCTCAGTGAGTTCAAGGCCAGCCTGGTCTATACAATAAGTTCCAGGACAGCTGGGACTGTTGCACAGAGAAACCCTATCTTGAAAAACCAAATATATTTTCTTTTTCAATTGCCATAGGCTTGTTTTTGTTCATTACTTAACCTGTAATGTTATTGGCATGTGTACTCATACAGGTGTTATATGCACACACATGTGCATGTGAACAGTAGAGCACACCGGGGCCAGAGGCCAACCTTTGGTGGAGCCATCAACCTTGTGTTTTCAAGCAATGTCTTTTCCTAAGACCTGGCACTTACCCACTGAATAGGCTGTCAGGGATCCACCCGCCTTCAGCTCCCCAGCACTAGGATTACAAACATACACCACCTTGCCTGGCTTTTTATGTGGGTCCTGAGAATGGAATTCAAGTCTTCATGCTTGAATAGCAAGCACTTTACCAACTAAGCTAACTCCCCAGCTCCCTATAATAGTTCTAATGGTAAGTTTTCAAAACTACAAAGAAGTTAACTCCATACTAAGTTACACATCTTTAACAGATTAAATTAAAGCAATATTTATATATGTGATACTTTATTAGACAAATGTATCATAGATTTTAGCACAATTTTCTCAGTAAATTCTTTGTTCATATGCCACTTTCTGATTAAAATATTAATCATCATTTAAAAAAAAAAGTAAAACCAAACCAACAAATATCATGAAGCTAAAGTTTCAGGCAAGAATGGCCAGTTGAAGGATCTGTCTGCCATGCCAATACTCACCTGTAGGGGGATTGGAAGAAATAACAGGGGGAGTTGGAGAAGTGAAGCCATCAGCAAGGGTCTGTGCACCCCCAGCAGCAGCATCTGGGGCAGTGGAGGAAGGGACAGTAGCAGGAACAAGAGGAGTAGGGACAGATGCAGAAGTAGCAGGAAGGGGAGGAGTGCCAGCAGAGCCAGCGGGGGCTGATGGGAAAGAGGAGTAAGAGGCAGCATTAATAAGGCAGTCATATTAGCATTAGAAAAAGCATTGGAATATTAAGAGTATTCAGCACTGAAAACTAGCCAAAAGAATAAAGCATTGAAAAAAGAATGGTTAAGGTTATTTATGTGAGCAACAAATAATTCAAGATGCCCAGGGAGTAAAGAAAAATGTTAATTAGCAAAAAAACAATCCTTCCTTTTTTACCTGTAAGCAACCTAGGAAAAAACTTTCCTACATGTTACTTTTTATAATGACATGTCTAAGTATATAAAACTATAGTACCTTTAAAAAGCAACAATATATTATTAGAATTACAACATGAGTCAAAAAAAGACACATATTCCAGATAATATCTTATTAGTTAAAAAAACAACTAAAAATTCACAAAATTTTTCATGATTTTTGTAAAAAGATATTGTCTATTTGCATTACTGTAATTAAATACACTGTTTTGTTTTTTGAAGACAAAATTCTTGCTACCTAACCCATTGGTTCCTAGAGTCTCCTGGCTCAGCCTATGCATGCTAGATTCCAGGCATGCACCACTACCTACTATGTGATATTCTATCTTGCTGGGTTTGGAGTTTGTGGGGGATTATTTTTTTTTGGGGGGGGGAGGTTCCCAAAACAGGGTTTCCCTGTGAAGCCTGGCTGTCCTGGAACTTGCTCTGTAGACAAGGCTGGCCTTAAACTCTGATACCTATCTCCTCTGCCTCTGCCTCTGCCTCTGCCTCCTGAGTACTGGGCTAAAGGCATGCGCCAACATACCCAGCTCATTCTGCTAGGTTTTAATAAAGATTTTTATTTACACATGTGTAAGCCTAAAAGACTTTACATGTGCCATCTACATGTAGGTGTACAGAGGCCAGAAGACAGTGTTGGGTCACCTGGAGCCAGAGTCACAGTGGGTGCTGAAACCAAACCTGGGTCTTTCTACAAGAGTAGTAAGGGCTCTTAATCAATGAACTGTCATCCCTGCAGCCACTATCTTGATGTTTTTGTGTTCATGCTTTTAAAACTAAATTCAATCTCTGTGTTTTCAAATCAAACAACTATATTTTTCTGTTTCAGGGAGGAGGGGAAATAGTTTTTCAGTAACTACTGAATTACAATACTCCTTTAAATTTACATCTCTCATCCTTTGTTACCAAAATGATCCTCAAACCATGTCCTCACTATTTCCAAGGAAATGTACTGTTGCAATACTAACTGAAACCAAAAAAGGAACTCATCCCATAATGAATATGAAACTTCAAGGCACCAAATGAACTAACACTAAAGACATAAAAGTGACAGACAAGCAAAGAGACAGCAGAACAATTAAGATCACTGGACAGAAATAACAAATGTATGCAGACTTCCTAATACTTATGGAGTGCTAAGGGAATATTTAAAATCTTTATTAAGAGGAAAAGCCATCTGTAGGAGACTCTAGACTCAATAGCCAGAAACATACTCATGGTGGGTGCATGTGCACACACATACAAGAAAACTCTCTCTAATTCAATGACAAACTGAATTCAAATTGACAAAAGAAAACAAAATAAATGATCACTAATGCTTTACCTGGGAAGACGCTGGGAGGAGATGGAGTAGGAACAGCGATAGGAACGCCCACACTCCCACTTCCACTGTTCTCCCGACTGCTGCTCCGACTACTTGGGTGGCTTCCTCCACTACTCCCACTGCTGCTGAAGAAGTAAGAGCCACCAAAGTGAGTATAGAGAACAGGAGATCAGGATTGCCATGTACTTCTGAAATGGACATTGCCACAAGAAATAAAATTCAAAAAGCTTCCATTTCAAACATGAATTCTTAATAAATAAGGAGAAAAATCTGAGTTCACTGAACTTGTTTTGATACCTAATTATGAGATCTAATAAATTTTTAAAAAACCCTCTGTAAATGTAAGGGCAAATTGTTCATGCTTAATACATTAAAATAATATTTTATATCCTGGTTTAATACCTATCGAAGAAACTTATAGTAAGTTTTACTAGATTATTTTATTTCAGTTTGTAATGGCATGGTGATATACTAACATTTTAATATGGATAGTTTTTCATCTGTAAATTTCCACCAAAAAAATTACTTGCAATTTTCATTCCTGGTTAGTAACATTTTTTAATTAAGTTTTATCTCTGTTGGTAAGTTTCTACTTTAAGATGTCTTTTTCACCTTCCTGACTGCTCAAAGTTGCATCAGAGCATGAGGAGAGAGAAGAAGAATCAGATGAGGTTTGGGAGAGTAGAGTGAGAAAAAGAACTTAGTGCTTGGAAAATGAGAGAGGTTTAGATTTAACTGAAGTTATCTCAACAGATTATGGTACTCTGACCATCATGTTTTGCGCTGAGGTAGAGAAAATACCTGTAAGTTCGATTTCTTTGATTCACAGAAGCTGTCCTCACAGGGCTCTGCTGCGAGGGAGCCATATTACGGGTTGGGCTAGGTACGTAATCATTTGGTACCACTGGAGGACGCACTGGCTCCAGTGTGCGATAGGGGGAGTGCCGCCTACAAAAAGAAGAGCGTATGTATTGTGTGATTAATCAAGTTTCGGCACAGTAAATTCAGAGTTGCCAGTGAAATACAACTTGTAAGCAGAAATAGGAAATGTGGTTTAACCCAGCTATCAATTAGTCTTTCCTACAGTACAACTCTTCCACCATTACAGAGAGTTCTGGTGAATATGTAGTGTAAATTTCAGTGTCCAACCTCATTTACCTGTGCTAATGTAATTTTGTTCATTTATTCACAGAAAACACAAAGTTTCCATTATTTAAGCCAATGTTTTCTAGATCTACTCTTTTCATAGAAGAATTTGAATTATTTTAGATTCATGTCAAAATCTCCCAAATGTACTGAGTGAATGCACTAATTATCTTCTTCTCCTCTCTCTCCCTAACCAAAGATATTTATTAATATTAATACAGATGACAAATCTATGTTTTTGGAGTCACAACCTCCACATGATGATTAATACCAGCCATAACTCATTCCCCTTTTTATACACTAAACACACAGAAATTAAAGACGTTGGTACTTCAAAATACATAACTTCACTTCATTTTCCACTTTTACAACCTTTCTCCTTCAACTTCACCTCAATTTCTTTGCTATTTCCTCCTCAGAGGTCAACATTGATAGGAAATTTTAAAAGACTACCTATGTCCTTCTATCTTAGTTAAACTGTAAAACCCAAACCAGACAATGTTACTAACAAGTTGTTTCCCTTTTTCCAAATTTTCCTTCCAAAGAAAGAAAATGAAAAAACAAAGAAAAGAAACAACAGGCTATAAAGTGCTGCCCGGAGCACTGCCTGGCACTCATTCAAGTCTTGTTCTCAAGGGGCCAAATCCTTCAGGGACAATGACATCTTGCAGTTGAGATTAGGTCTTTAAAAGAATCTGACATCCCAAGATATGAAAATTTGAAAGTTTTCTTCTCTTGCAAGAGAATGCTGCTCATGTGGCTCTTGTATCTCTCAGTATTTCACTCCCAACCAGGTTTCCAGAGTTTCTTTAAGTACTGCTTTCCTGGCCACTCACTTTCACTGACTTTGAACCCGTTGGTGGCCCTAGAACTCTGGAACTCTCTTCTCAAAATCACAGAGATCCACCTGCCTCTCCCTCCCGAGTGCTGGAATTAAAGGGCTGTGCCTCTACCGAACAAATGAGATTATTTTCAAAGGCACTGTTGCCTCTGCTTTCCTTGGGTATTGCTCAATAAACAATTAACAGGCCGAGCGCTGTTTTTGGCACATGCCTTTAACCCCAGCACTGGGAGACAGAAGCAGGCAGATCTCTGTGAGTTCAAGGCCAACCTGGTCTACAAAGCAAGTTCCTGGACAGGCTCCAAAGCTACACAGAGAAACCCTGTCTTGAAAAACTAAAAAGAAAAACAAACAAAAAATTAATAAACAAAACAATTAACAATTCAAAATAAGTAAAAGACACTATATGTGCTATGTCAAAAGGAAATATTTTTAAAAATTCAAGCATATTTGAAATTACAATACATATATAAATCTATGTATGCATATATATCAGAAAATTTCTAAAGTCTACTTTTGACAATGTTTCTCACACACTAAAATGTTCCATTCTATCTTCACTAACTGTGAGATATACAGAATATCAATGATACAAACAAGGTTAAAAAAAATTAAACAGGAGGAAGAGGAATAATATGGTGACCAGTCAAAGACTAAAGAAAACAGCCCATGATCACCAAATGGACAATGGAATTTTGCCACTCTGGTCTCCAATGAGCAGCTGAATTCCTACTAATACCCAAGAAAATGCATTACTGGTACAAGAGTACATGAGTTCAAAATCTGAGTGCAAAAGAAATTTTAATTCTACTAGAGACTTGATAACAAAATTAACTTCAACCCTTACAAATCCCATTAGGCAGTGCACCTGAGGAAATGTAAATATGATCTACCAGAAGACAAAGCAAACACTTCCTCAGTAGCCATCATACGCTATACTGTCGTTTTTATTCTACCTTGTAGTTTGTTTTATTTGACCCACCAGATTCTTCCTCTGTATTCTAAGAACAAAAAGATCATTTTAGATAAAGCCTAAACTGGATTACAAGCACAAACCTATAATCCCAGAATCCCAAAATTTGAGGAGTTTCAAGATCAATATGGTCTACACTATTTAGTGACAACACCTGGCTTACAAAGCAGAAATAAATTAATGAAAAGCATCCTACTACTGGGTTTACATTTTTGTCTTGTTTTCTACTGATCAAACTATAATCCCTTTCCAACATTATCCTCCTTTATATTTCAATTTGCCTTTGTCCTACACTAATCCAAGTGCTTGACTGACTGAGTTTTGATGGGGGAGGGCATGTTCTTGTTGTTTGAAGGTTTCCTCATTTCTTTTTTTTTTTAAGAAAATATCACAAAGACAATATTTCTGAAAGCATTCGTCATGTCCTATACATTTTTAAAAACTCCAATTTGTAGTAGAGTAACTCTGGAAAATTGATAGAGGACAAATATCACCCCCTTTACAGATGAAAAAACTAAATTGACAAATTGACTACAGGACCATAGAACAAACAGCAGAGCTACATCAGAATTTCAGTCAACTGGCTTCTGGATTATATCACATCCACTTACTCACAAACCTCAATCATGATAAAGCTAGGATACAGTACAAGAAAAAAGTCACTTTCCTTCCAGGTAGCAATTTATAAAATAAAGTCAACTTCAGAGCCCAAATCAAAGCTCAAAAATATAACAATTACACAGAATATTATGGTCCACATAGCCTAGACATCCCGATAAATGTAACTGTAATATAAAAGGATCATTAAAATTTTCTAAGAAAAAGGAATTAAAGTTAGACTTCACTTTATAATTAACCATGAATTTAGGCTAGGATTTTTTGTTAATTTAAAAATCACTACAAAAATAATTTCTAAATAACCACTTTTAAAGTATAAAGATGTGCTTACCAGAAAAAAAAAAAAGGAAAGGAAGGAAGGAAGGAGAGAGGGTAGAATGGAGGGAGGGAGGGAAGAAGGGGAAGGAGAAAAAAGAAAGACACACAAAGGCAACACTGAAGAAAATAGTCTCCCTACTAATTTACATAGAGGGTTTTTTGTTTGTGTTTTTTTTTAACACAACAGTACATGACATGGTTTTCTATTGCTATTTACTCACCCAAGTGTCCCCTTTCCTGACATAGGGGGACTTGGGGGCTTCTGGGTTGGAGGTGTTGTACGTGGGAGGCCACCAATCTTCATATTCTGGGTACTCACCTAAAAAAAATGTTGAAGAAAACACAACTTAATTTCTATGCAGTAAAACAAAGTGGCATTTGGAAAACAAGGAGGGGAAGGTTTAAATAAGAAAAAAATTGGAGGCCATGCAATTCCTACTCTACTATTCTGTAGTTGTACTCAAAGGACTCTTCCTAAAAGGATTTTCAAATTATTTTAAACTTGTATGTGAAGAATTTATTTGCCATTAGGCCATCACACCAACAGATCACTGGTTAGACTATCTGATATTACACTCAGCTAAAATCAAATAGTATAGCTATAAAAACTTTAGTGGTAACAAAAAATAATTCAATTAGAAACAATAAGCTGCTTAATCAATTTTTCATTTGGGGGATTGTTTCCCTTATATAACAAATATATCAAAAAACATGTTTCCAAGCTAAAAAATATGCAGTTATGCATATGTTCAGCTATAAGTAGAGAATATAAAATGCAGATAAATTGTTATGATATACAAAGAAAAGTTCAGCTCTTTAAACTTGTGAATCACTCTCACAATCAGATTTAATGTTCTCCTTACGAGGAAATCACCTACCTGAACACTGCTAGAAGCTCAAGGCAATGTTAGGGCTGAGGTAACCCATCACTGAGAACACAAAAGCCACTGTCACTGTGTGAGTTCTAGTGGGAATTAAACCCACACAAGCCCAAAGTGAAGGCTAACTGAGGAATGAAACAGTGTGACATAGTCCTAAGTCAGAGATGGACCATGACTGCATTCGTAATTCTATTCCCAACTGAAATTTTAAATACAGAAAAGATGGCAATCTGGGAATAATGATGCCATTAAAGGAGTATGTCAGCCCTTGTACAAAACCCCTAAACATCCAGTGTTCTTATAAGGAGTCAGTAAGAAACACAATGCAATGCAACCTCCCATTGTTTGAGACTACCAAGAGATTAAATTACTATCCACAAAGTAGATTCATACATGTTTTATTTTAAATCCCTAGTATCTTGGATTGCCATCATCACAACACATTTTTTAATAATTTATTTATTCTTATTTTAAGTACATTTGGTGTTTTGCCTACATGAATGTCTGTGTTAGAGTGTCAGATCTTGGAGTTACAGAGAGTTGCTAGCTGCAATGCATCACAACACATTTAAAGAATGAATGAATCTCAAGCTTCTCATTGTACTGTCTTCAGAACTAAAATTTATACTTAAAACATAAAAGGGTAAGATATTTTTATACCACTGAAGTTGGAAGAGACCTACAATTATAATTTTAAAAATACATATTATATATATATATATAAAGAGAGAGAGAGAGAGAGAGAGAGAGAGAGAGAGATTCTCAAGAAGCCCTAGCTAGCCTGAAACACTATAGAGATCAGCCTGTCTCTGCCTCCCAAGTATTGGGATTAAAAATGTGTACCACCACACCTGGCCAATTTTAAAATATAAATTTTATGAAAACAAATCTTAATTATATCAGAGTACTGAGGCTGGCAAAATTAACTCTAACTTGGGTAGATTTTAAGTTCTAAAATAATAATTATTACTTATCCAAATAGGCAAGAAATAATATATCAAGCAATAAATTCTTCAAATGAATAGCCCAGTGAACAAGTTGTGTGTGATGTTAAAACAATCTTTAATGACAAATGGTACCTTTGAAATGTTATTTTTAAAGTAAAGGATTTGTCTGAAATTCTTTTGCTGTTGCTTTTAAACAGTAAATATAAATTATCAAATAAATTATCCTTGTTATCGCCCCTCTTTAATAAGGAGAGGGTATGTGAATTTTATCTTTAAAATGTCAGAAGACACTTTGAAAAACTCAATTCACATTTGAAGAAAACTTTGTAAGTAATATGACAAATAACCACCATAACTTTGAAGAACTGCATGTTTTGACTTATGATACCACAGGGTTTGAGTAGTAACCAAGTCCTTTAAGCTCAACCTTTAACAACATAAAACCCAAAGTTACTATAAGTGAGGAGGAAGAAGTGAACCAAACACTAAACTACAATTCAATTTGCTAGAATAAGGAAGGAAAAGGAGCAAGAACAGAAAAAAGAATATGAGAATTTTATTCTATATATGGGATAGCTAAGATACTTGAAAATAACTTTCCAACTATAATTTAGTTTAGGTTTTAATATGCAAGGTGCTTTTATTTAAGTTGCAGTAACTTCTCTAAGTCTCCAAATCTACCTTAATAATAGAGTAAAATAATCTTTTAGTTAAAATTGGGTGGGCACATGTAAACAAAAATGAGTACATTTTATAATCTATAAAATCCTCAACTGTTTGGTTAATGGGTTGGAAAAGCAATAAATCACTTACGAATCTGAGTCCCTATGTAATGTCCAAACCACCTAATCGCATTCATCACTGACACTGTGCTACTCTCTATTAAACTAAGTTTATCACTATTTTCTCAAGGGAATTTTCCTCTGTGCTACATAAAACAAGTAGTGTAGAAAACAAGAATACAAAAAAATTAAGAAAATAGTAATGTGACAAAAATACTTCATTTCTTTATAAAGGGTAAATTTAAAAATGTAACGGAGTAGTTCAAAACTAAAATACTTTATTCAAGAATTCCTTAGTGAATAGATATCGTGATCTTAAAAGAAACTTTGAGGTGTTTTAGAAACATATTTCCTGACAATTAGCAAAACATCTGGCTAAATTATGCTTATGGTAGAAGACAACATGTGCGAGCGTGCTTGTGTGCATGTACACACCATCAACGTCAAAAAGGAAAACAAAAACTTCATCCATGTTATAACAGTAACTCCTCTTGAAATATGTGTGTGTGTGTGTGCTGTAACCATTCTTCTTGATGTGTACATACATGTGTGCCTGAGTGTGTGTATATATACACACCTGCAGGTACATGCATACCACAGGGTACATGCATACCACAGGGTACATGTAAAAGTCAGACAAGAATCTTTGGGTATAATTCTCACCTTTTCCCACCTTGTTTGAAACAGGATCACTTTGCTGCTGAGTATACCAGACTACCTGGTGTACAAACTTCTAGAGCTCATGTCTCCGTTTCCCATCTCCCTGTATGGGGCACTGGGATTACAGATGTTTATGCTACTGTCATGCTCTGTTCATGTACACTGCTTGATGTTTACTCAGCAACAAAATAGCTAACATGGTTACCTGTCAAAATATGCTTCCATCATTAAGTGAGAAATTACCACAGGTTCACTGCAAATGGAAATAATTGACCAGAGAATACAGCAAGGTGGTAGAGTACTTGTCTAGCATGTTTATACAATGCTCTGCAGCCAAAGGGGGGTGGGGTTTTAGCTCTGAATTTTTCTAAAGCTGACCAGCACTATTTCTGAAGCTGGTCAGCCCAGTATCTCTAGCTCACCAGTGGGATCACCTGTGATATGCAATCTTATACTGATAGATGACCTGCTTCAACTGAACAGTGACAGATGCATTCTAAAATGATTTGTGATGTAGCTTTCAGCTGTCAACCACTTGCCAGACTACTATATACAAGAAAAAGGGCTCAAGAGGAAAGAATAAAGTGATCTATAAAAGGACTATATGAGTCATATTTAAAAGATGGCTCTAAGCCGGGCGGTGGTGGCACACGCCTTTAATCCCAGCACTCAGGAGGCAGAGGCAAGTGGATCTCTGTGAGTTCAAGACCAGCCTGGTCTACAAGAGCTAGTTCCAGGACAGCCTTCCAAAGCCACAGAGAAACCCTCTCTGTCTCGAAAAACCAAAAAAAAAAAGAAAAAAAGAAAGAAAAAAGATGGCTCTATAAATAAGTAAATTTTTTTAAAAGGTAGCAGTAGTAATGTGGAAAAATTTGTTAGGGGAAGGTGGTGTATGACTTTTTCTAGGAAGGTATGAACAAATGTCTATTCATCCCAAATAAGACACATGGTAATAACCGACTGAAAATACGGTTTTATCCATGTCTGGCTCCATGAACTGATGAATTTAGCTGGAATTACAGAAGCATGAGTGAGGGGTTGCTTACAGAGCACGACAACTTACAGGCAACTATACCATCCACTAGAGTCTCCTCCAGAAACTGTTAAGCACTTGTTTATCCTTAAGGAGGACAAGGACCTGATGAGCAAACTCACTGTCCCTTGAGCTCTCCTCACCAGTCCAAGAGGGATGTTAGTGAGCCCACATGGGTAACTGCTCTGAATCACGGTGGTGATGGCCATATCCAGACTAACATTTCACAGAGAACCTGAGCTGAGTGGAGACAAAGCGGAGGGTGGGAAGGAGGAAAAGGAAAAAGACCAGGTGTTGTAGCACATGTCTGGAATTCCACCATTTGGAGATTGAGACAGAAGATAGAGTTCAAGGCCGGCCAGCCTCAGCTACACAATGAGTTTGAAGCCAGCTTGGACTAACATGAGACCCTAAAGAGAAAGGATCTGGGGCTAAGGATGTAGAATCAGTAGTTCATACTGAGTTCATACTTAATATGCTCAAAGCCCTGGGTTTGATAATCTATCTTTTAAAAAATGGATTTAAATACAGAGGAAAAAAGAGGACTATGAATAATTTTATCTATATAAGGATTAGAGGAAAGGGGGAAACAGGTAAAGCCCATAACTTCCTGCCTAACATTATCCTTCGTTATAGTGTGCCATCTAGTATACCAGTACTATACTAGTACAATCCTTTGGGATTCCAGTGTGAAACTTTTTGGTTCAAAGAAGAAAAATGTTGGGGTATCTTATCCAAGCATAATACATATGGGATCTTCCTAGGAAGCCCTCAGGGAACCTATCTCTTGCATGAAAACAGACATTCAAGGAGAAGAAAGCAAGATAGCCCAACCTAGAGAAAAGAAGCATGGAGAATGGCTTAGACAACAGACTAAACATTAAGAGACAGGATCAGCCTATTTCTTCAGTTACTATTTCTGGGTATTGCTACCACTTGTAGGTTAACAGACCAAAAACCAAAATTTGAATACTGCCTACTTTTTTTTTTTGGTCTAGTTCACTGTGATTTAGCCATTTTAAACAGAAGGAACCTTCCCACAATTCCACATACCTAGGTTACCAGCAATGGAAGGGCTTGGAGCTTGTTCACTTGTGTGACTTGTCAGATCGACCTGCCATAACCAGGCAAACTTTTTATGCCCATGGTTAATTCTACATAATACAGTCATCCTGTCTGCTTATCACTAACTACATTCAAGATATGGCGAACTACAGAGTAACAACAACAAAAATACATTTGAAAGGAAATCACAAAATTTGGCTAAGAAAAAAAAAAGAAATGCATAATAAGTTTGATCAAAATCGTTTTTATCGGGGGGCCGGAGAGATGACTCAGCAGTTAAGAGCACTGACTGTTCTTCCAGAGGTCCTGAGTTCAATTCCCGGCAAACACACACATGGTGGCTCACAACCACCTTGAAATCTCTGTGAGTTCAAGAGCTGAGTTAAGAGCAGAAGACTGTATACATAATAAAATCTTTAAAAAAAAAAAAAGTTTGAAAAAGAGAATATTTTAAAAAAAAAAAAAAAAGTTTAAAAAAAAAAATTTTTAAAAAAAAAAAAAATCATTCTTATCAAAATAGACCGTATTTGATAGGCTTCTTGAATACAATTGAAATGTTTTTATCATGGATCCCTCAAAACACTAATACACAGGCCGCACAACAGGAAACAGTACCTTGCTTTGTTTGGGTGTACATGGTTTATTTGGTTGGTTGGTTGGCTTCTAGTGCTAGAGATTGAACCAGGGCCCTCTACATGCTAGGCAAGTGCTTTAGCACTGAGAAACGCCTTCCAGACCCTATTCTCTAATTCTTAATTTGTATTTTTTAAACATTATCATGAACTTTGGATGTTGTGCATACAAATAATATTCACCTTTTAAAAAGACTTAACATGAGTTTATATTGAAATATATTGTATACAACCATTTTAAAAAGACTATTTTGTAAAATGTACTGCAACTTAAAAAAAGCATATGATGGCATTTTTTGCTTCAATTTTTTTATATTAGAAGTCAAAAGATAATTACATATTGTTAACAAACCATATAATAGAGCACACCATTTATAGAATAAAAAGCTATTACACAGGGGGAGGGTTAAATAAAGCATATTAGTTGGCCCTCCAATCAATAGCAAAATTTCCACATTTATAAAGACCCAGCTAATTTTATCTCATAACACTTTACAACAGTTTAACATATTTCAGTTTCACAAAAGCACCCATTCATTCAGCAAATGCTAATCACCTAATGTGTGTTTGGTACTGTTCTAGGCACAAAGAACAGGGCAATGAACAAAATAGACAAAAATACCTACCCTCAGGGAACATGAAGACACAAAACAAAGTTGCTAGACCAAACTAAATAGAGAGGACTAATTTGTTCATTTTAAAAGGCCAAATGAAAACTCTTTACTCCCCATATGTAATATTCTACATAAGAACACAGAATGGAAATCCAGCCCTGGGATCTCTTACCTTAAATCTAAGCAACCACTTAATGCATAAATGGAGCAAATAAAAGAGGTAAGGAAAAAAAGCATTGAAAGGTTAGTTGGAACTTCAGGATGTGAAGACAAAAGAAAGAAAACAAAGAAAAACAAGTTACGCAATCAGCATTAACAAAATAATGTCTCAGTAGATCATAGAAAGAGTGATTAAAGCAGAATGTGTCATGAACAGGAGTCTCTTTGATGACATAAGACACTGTTTTATTCAACACTTTAACTCCTTTAAAGAGTTCTTCAAATTAATGACCACTAAAGTACAAACAACAGAGGCTATAGTCCTAAAAGAAAAGGATTTTATTTTAAGGATTAAACAAGAATTACATAAGGAATCACCTTCATTGTATAAACAGGCAAGCACAAACGTGATATTCTATATTACAAGCATCTTCTGGCTGGCACCAGATTCTGGTAGCAGTCTATAACATTCTATCAGCAGCTGTTCGTCTTCAACAAACTTCTCCCAAGTTAAAATGAATTAAATTAACCATTTAGTTATATATCCTATTTTAATAAGTTTTAAATGGTCATTAAGCTATATGTAGGAATCAACTATAAAATCAAATATCAAATTCCAGATAGTAATGCTTATTCAAAACTCTGAATAAACCAGGTATGGAAGTTCACACCTTTAATCCCAGCACTCTGGAGGTAGAGGCAGGATGATCACTTTGAGTTCAAGGTCAGCGTGGCCTACACAATGAGGCAGGCCAGGGCTAAAAGAGTAAGACCCTGTCTTTAAAAAAACAACAAAACCATAACTCGAAATAAAATATTTTTTACAAATAAATTTATAGTTTATGTATTATTTTTTCATAGATAAATATTAAATTTGAATTTACCGATTTCTGGCCAAAATGGTGGTAATATATTTTATATAAATAGATTTGTATCACAAAAAATATCATATGCATGAACTATATAGTTCATAGATAGATATATGTGTATATTTATTTGAAGTCATACGTATTTTTCCAATCACTACTGAAATATAAACTGTAAATAATGTACTTAGCTGTAGCTCCGAATGGTTTTCTACAGGGAAACACCAACTTACAGAAGCTACGCTTTTTCCCAGCTGTAGCTGGCAGGTGTTTTGAAGTGTTGGTGCTAGAATGCAGGGCTTTGTGTGTGAAAAAGCTCATGATCTACCACTGGACCACACTCCCAATACTCCAGAATCTTGATGACAGTACTTCACATGCATAACAGATACTCAATTATCTTTAAAAGATGGCCAAAATATTTAATGTTACAAATTTAAAAGCATTGGAAACAAACAATACTTTGCAACTTTTATCTACACTATTCTTACCCAAAAGGTTGTGATAAAATTATTCAGGAAAAAAAAAAAAAGAAAACAAGATCATGTTTAATAACATATGCTGTTCTGAAAACTAATGCCAAAAGTCTGCTGACAAATTTGAGATAAGAAAAATATTTTAATAATAGGCTGGATGATTTTTCTGTCATATTAAATCATTAAAAGATTAGAACTATACTATACTTGGTCTATGTAAATTAAGCAAATTGCACTAAAAGATGACTGCTTCTAAAAATATAACACTAAAGAAAAACTTAAGGACACAACAGTTAACAGTAGTAAGCAATCTTCACAACTGTGTCAAGATTTGGTCCTTTAGGAAATTCAATAAACTTTAATTTTCTAGGGTTCCACCACAGACTACTACTTTTGGAAACTTGACAAAAATTACACCTACCTTTACTCCATGTCCAATGTCATCTAAAATTGTGTAGTCAATAGGTTTTCGAATATAACGAACTGGTCGCTCAAGGTTGGCTGGTGCAATAATCTTGTGGGTTCTTGAAGTGTTTTTATTAGTAGTCAAAATACCAATTTCTCTTCTTGCAACTTTCTCTTTATGAATATCAACTGTCTGTGGATATAAAGAAGACAACACAAAGACGGTTAGCTCTGATATCAAATGCCTGGAAATTTAATATTGCTTCTTATTCATCTCATAAACCATCATCTCTCTAGACTACTGGCTTTATTCATTTTAACCTACTGCAAGGGCTGCCAAAGCAAACACTCAGATCTAATCTGGCCTCCCACCTGACTTTTATAGTCCACATGGTAGAAGCAGAACTTAACGTATGCATGTGTACACATGTGCAGGTTCACATATCTGTAGTGTGTTCTTGTGGTGGGGTGTACATGTGCATCCTTGTGCATGTGGAGACCAGAAGTAAACCTTGAGTTTCATTTTTCATAAGCTGTCCACCTAGCGTTTTGTTTTGTTTTTTTTTTTGTTTGTTTGTTTTTTGTTTTTTTTTCAGAGAAAGTCTCCCACTGAATATAGGTCTTTCTAATTTGTCTAAGCTGGCTGGCCAACCAGTCCCAGGCATCTGTTTCTGTCTCTCGGCACTGTGATTACAAGTGCACATCACACTCGGCTCTTTACTTGGTTGTGGAGCAAACACTGTACTGAGTCATTTCCCCAACCCATGGTGATCTTTTTCAACAGTTTAAAAATATCAACGTAAGAGTCATGTCATGACATAAGAAAATTATATCAAATTCAAATTTGGGTTTCCATAATTTTATGAGGATATATTGTTCATGTGCTTATATGTCTATAGCTATTTTTAAACTACAGTAGTGCAAATAATCACAACAGAGAATGTACAGCTTGCGAAAATGAAAATAATTAGCTCTTTACAGAAAAAGGCTGCCAGTCACCAGTTTAACATGACAAGTTTTTTCTTTCCATTAAGAATTACCCTTACAGGACAGTAGTGACACACACCTTTAATCAAGTGCCCAGTTTTCAATATCACCACCTTTGTCCTATTAATAGGACTCTGAATCTTTGGAAGCACAGGTTTCTATAGTGATGCTTGCAAAGAATTTTAGGGGTTAAAAAAATAACTTTATCCTAAAATTCTCAAGTTACCAATTTTATGAAAATAAACTCATTTATTAAGAAAAGGTCTCAATAATAGCAATTACCTGGGGCAAGTACATGCTCAGCTAGTAAACAAAACTAATGCAATGCAGTGCTTTTGATAGTATTATTGCTACAGATCTCGTTAAATGAAAAACACATCAAGGACTATCACCACTATTATGCATAACTTAAACATCTACTCTCTCACAGTTACTTATTAGTTTTCCCATCCTTCCGCTATTGCCAAGCTGCTGTTGCACGCTGCAGGCTTCCCCACATAACACATCATCCATAGAGTACCAAAACTAGCTTCCTTTTGCTTTGAAGTGATCATCCTGACTCCAGGAGCTCCTCTTAAGCCTGAGCTCCAGTCCTTCATCTCCCTCAAATCCAAGCACATGCTCGGACCCTAGCAGTGACAGGAAGGCACTATATAAAATATATAAAGACACACAACTTTGATCCCAGCACTTAGGAGGCAGAGACAAGCAGATCTCTGTGAGTTCAAGGCCAGCCTGGTCTACAGAGTGAGTTCCAGGACAACCAGAGCTACACAGAGAAACCCTGTCTCCAAACATCCAAAAAAAAAAAAAAATTGTTTTAGTTTAATTCAAATATTGTTGCTTCATTGCCACAGATAATTTAGGCATTACTGAATAACTACCTCAGCTAGCTGCCCATCAGTGTAGGAAAATATCTGCAAACAGTTACTGATGTTTAACTAGCTAAATTTAGTGTTTTCATAAATGTTCAAACTAAGCAATTTAATTACTCAAATTACAAATATCCTCCAAATTACCCATCTTCCATAAATCAGCTATTTAAAATCCTAATAGGGTGCCAGTGAAATGACTCAGTTATTGTGGGATATTGTGATTGCACTCTGACACTCCCAAGACTGCCAATAAAGTTTGCTTTGAATGAGAGGGCAGAGCTAGCTACTAGCTGACCAAAATTAGCCATAGAGGTTTTGGAGGACTGAGAACATATAGAGGGACACAGGAAGTAGTGGGATGGGTCTCAGAAAAGTTCTTGGCCGCCTGTGGATCGAGGACAGAGAGAGAGAGGGAAGGTCACTGGTCACTTCTCTGCCACTTCTCTATCATTCAGCTTCTTACCCTGATATCTGACTCCCAAGCTTTTATTGATGAAGAATAATTAGATAAATGCTGCACTCAGCAGGTAAGGGCTCTTGTCATCAACACTGATTACTGAGTTCAACTCACAAGTGAACACATGGTGGAAGAATAGTACCAACTTGCACAAGTTATCCTCTGAGCTTAACATATGCACCTGAACTCATACAAATAAATGTTAAAAATTAAACTTAATGGGTAATTTTTACTGTTTAAATTTACACCCAAATATGTCAAAATATTTTAGGAGCAGAAGCTGGCACACTTATAAACTATAGTTACATGGCAAATCTGGCCCACAGAATATGTTTTTATATACCCCACAAACTAAGAGTGTGTTAACATTTTTACAAAGTTGTCAAAAACACTTACGTACATCCTGGGCAACATACCCAGAACAAAACAAAACAAAAACAAAAACTAAAAGTGATACATATGTCTTAAAAAAACACTACAATGAGATAGCTGTGGCCCACAACACCTGAAGTATTTGCCATCTGTCCCGTTTAAGTTTGCCATTGCTGTTCTGGAATATTTCCTAAGTATTTGCCTTCTGAACACAAAACATTTTCTTTATATTACAGAAGTTGTCAGGGACAAAAGACAATTCAGTGCTGAGTACAGACTCAGAATGTAAGAGGCCTTAGGTACAATCTTTGGTGCAAAATAATAGTTTTCTCCTAGTTTAAAGATCATCAAATAGTTTCTATATTAAACTGGTTGTTTTAAACATAACTTTGGGAAGTTTTAGGAGCTGCTTGACGGCTCAATGGTAAAGTGCTTTCTATAAAAGATGACGAGTACAAATTCCTAGGACTTCTGTAAAAGTAGGACACAGTACACACCTCTCATTTCAGAGCTGGGAAAAAAATTAAAAAGTGAAGAATGAGTGTAACCTCAGGCCTACACACACACACACCTTCCTACCTGTGTATGTCCACATATACAAATACAATTTAATTACTGAAACAAATTCTACAAATTAAAAATTCTGTGGCTGCTCTTACTTCTTACATATTTCCTTTATCAGTCCACCTCCCCAACACATCCAGGATACTAATATACACTTTATTAGTATATTAGATATACTATCTACGATAGATAAACAAAATCTATCGTAGAGTTGCAGTCTTCACCTCTCCAGGTACTGACCTCTAAAAGCCCAACTCTAAATTAAAATGGTTCAAGGTACTTCTAACAACTCTGACATTTTCCAATTCTGACCTACTAACCTCTCAATCTCTCTCCTACTTTCCACTTATTTCATCAGAATAGCTTTAGAAGCTAGCATTAATTAGACCACATTATTAAATGCCAATGTGTAATATGCAAAAGTAGTAGGACTGGAGGCAGCTCAGTTAGGGAAATGCTTGCTCTACAAGCATGAACCTCACTCAGCCCCACACAGGAGCCAAGTGTGGCAGTCAGTGCACTCCTGCAATCGCACTCCTGGGGAGCAGACAGGGAATCCCTAAGACTTGTTGACCAGCCAGTCTAGACAGTGAGCTCAAGGTTTAGAGAACCTGCTCAAAAAAAGTAAGGTTGGAAAACTATTGAGGAAGACATCCAACATCAACCAATCACTTTAATGTTTTTAAAACTGCATTTTGCAATTAGTTTTCTGTCACAGCATTTTTTAAAAGGTAAAAGTCTTCCTATGCAGCACAGACCAGCTCTGAATTTATAATCTTCCTGCCTTGGCCTCACCAGCGCTCATATTACAGGTGTATACCACTGTTCCCAGCTACAAGATTACTTTAAATGAACTTAGGACACAGGAATGATTATGAAAGCTATAAAAACAGGCAGCCACTGAGAAATTATATCGAGATTCTAACAACATGAGAATACGTGTTTGAAAGCTAACAGAGTAAAATCCCAAATTTTATACCTATTACAATCACAGCTATATTGTAAAAATGATGAAAAAGTAGACTATACTGGAAGAGGGAAAACAATGAAAAGCTTGAGCAATAGTAAAAGGCTTGTTTTTCCATTTCCTTTCTGTACTTTCATAAATATGGTTTTTTATATAATAAATTCAAACTTTATCATAAAGACCTTGCAAATAAAAACTTCTTTCAGTGACATTAGGCAGACCCAAGGTCTATACACCTTAATGGCCTTCTATACAGTGAGAACAGTCCTACTGAAGTCATGAAGCTGGCTTTAAATTGTACACTTGCACTATCTACAATATTTTTATGTACTTATCCAACACACACACACATTGTGGGATATTTGTTTACAGTGTGTAAAGATGTGTCTAGGTTTTGCCTCACTTGCCTAATGCATCTGATTGCTTTAACAAAGAGCTAAATGCCCAATAGCTAGGCAGCAGAGAATAATGGGACTTCCAGGCAGTAAGGAACTGGGGCAGCAGGAGATGCCTCTGAGCCATGAAGGAAGTCTGACACACAGAATGAAGGAGAGGTAAAAAGCCATACCACAGAACACAGATTAACAGAATCAGGTTAATTTAAGTTATAAGAGCTAGTTGGAAACAAGCTTAAAGCTAAAGGCCAAGCTTTCATAATTAATAAATCTCCTTGTCATTATTTGGGGGCTGGCAGTCCAAAGAAAGTCGAACAAGACTACACACACACACACACACAGAGAGAGAGAGAGAGAGAGAGAGAGAGAGAGAGAGAGGGAGAGAGAAACCCACCAGAGGAGTTAAAACTCAATGTCTTCGTTCATGATTCTTATGTCCTTTATCTGGGTTCTGGCCTTCCTCATCACTTAATACTTCCCTTTCGTGTCCTCCTTTATAAACACAGCTTTTATAAGGAAAATGTTAACACTTAAAAGTTTCATTTAAAGATATTTTTATATGGAATGCTAGTCTCTAAACTTTCCTGTTTTACAGTATGGCTGGTAGGTAAATTCTCCTGAACATAAAACCTGGGCTAAGTGGGAGTTTAACTCAGTAATAAAGTGGTTGCTTAGCATGCTCAAGGCTTTAAATTCAATTCCCAACACCACTGCTGTGGTTTGCACAGGAATGGCCCCCACATATGGTGATATATTATTCATGATTTATTAAAGCTTGTCTGGGTGTACAAAAAGCAAAGCCAGACACACAAGCTATGGAGGTCAGGCAGTGGTTATATACACCATTAATCCCAGCAGCCATACCAGCTAGCTATAGAAGCCGAGCAGTGGTGGCATACACCTTTAATCCCGGGAGCCAGGGTTAAGAGGTAGACAGATCTCTGTTAGTTCAAGGTCATACTGACTACACAAAATTGATCCAGTCCTAAAAGAAACAACTCCACACAAAGGTGATCTCAGCGCCTTTAATCCCAGCAGTAGGGAGGTGGAGACAGGAGTGATATGGCTGAGCAGAGAAAGAAATAAAAGGCAGGAGACATGAACTGAGAGCTTTTGCCTCTGAGAATTCGTGGAGACAGGATTGCCATTTCAGCCTTGCAGAGGTAAAACTACTGGCCTGGCTGCTTTGCTTCTCTAATCTTCAGCTTGAAGCTTGAACCCCAGTATCAGTCTCTGGGTCTTTTATTTTTCATGCTACACCCACAGGCTCATATTTGAATGCTTGTTCATTAAGGAGTGTCAATACTTGCCAAGGATCAGGAGAAGTGGCCTTATTGGAGTAGGTTTGGCCTTGTTAGAGGAAATGTCACTGGGGTGGACTTTGAGGTTTTAAAAATGCTTAAGCCAGCCGGGCATTGGTGGCAAACGCCTTTAATCCCAGCATTCGGGAGGCAGAGGCAGGCAGATCTCTGTGAGTTCGAGGCCAGCCTGGTCTACAAGAGCTAATTCCAGGACAGCCACCTGGAATTCAAGACAGAGAAACCCTGTCTTGAAAAACCAAAAAGAAAAAAGAAAAAAAAAAAATTCTTAAGTCAGGCCTTCAGGCTTCTGGGCCTGCTGCCTGTGGATCTAGATATAGAATTCTCAGTTATTCTCCAGCAACATGTCTGCCTGCATGCCACCATGCTTCCTGACATTTTAACAATGGACTAAACCTCTGAAGTGCAAGCCAGACTCAATGAAATGCTTTCCTTCATAAGAGTTGCCATAGTCATGGTATCTCTTCACAGCAATAGAACACTAAGACAGCCACCAAAAGGGGCTTAAAAAGCCTACTGACAGGAGAAAACTTTTAATTAGCCACCAAGCTATCTAGTAAAGACACACAAAACCTTTCAAAAGATTTTAAAAAATTTTTTTTCTTAAAAAAAAAAAAAAAAAAAAACAAATTTTCACTTCAGGAGTGATTATGTTACCATGGCAAATAAGTTTTAATAAAATCTATCAAATTCACTTTCCTATCAAACTACAAAGATAATAACATCACAAAAAAATCATAAAACAATACGATATTAAATTTGTATTTTCCAAATAGTACATGCACATTAACTTGCATAAAAAAGGCAGTTAACAGGCTGTGTGTTGCTCAAAGGCAAATAGAAAAATAACATGGTCTCACTTGTGAAATATGGTTGATTGAAGATTCCATCCTCCGTAACTGGGATGCCTGGATATCCAGCATTTGTAGGACATTGTTGGCCAAGGTGTTTATCAGATATGCAACACTTGCTAAGGATTGGGTGGTGTAAGCTTTGGTTTCTTCTAGGGCTCGCTGCTTATCTGATGACTAGGGAGGAAAAAACAGTGACAGTTAATTTAAAGATAACTTACTCATCTGAACCCTTTTGTTACTGAACCTACTCGAAAATATTATCAAAACTATTGCCATGCAAATCCAAAACTAAATGATTCAATGAATTCACTAACATTTTCAAGTTAAATATATATCTGTGAAGGTATAAATAAAATCCTAAAGCTATTATTTAAAATCTAAGCTCTGATGGCTACTTTGAACAATGACAGCACATACACATCTTCCGAATTCATGTACAAATTCTACTTATTCTATTTCCCTAAGTCCTGATTTACTTTCATTCTCACACATAAAATATCTGAACAAAATATAACTGATTATAAAAATAAATGTTGTTGTTGTGGGCATGATATGATGGTGAACACCATTAATTCCAGCACATGGTAGACAGAAGCAGGTGAATCTCTGAGTTTGAGGCCAGCATGGTCTACAGAGTGAGTTCTACTATAGCCAGGGCTACCTAGAGAAATCCTGTTTCAAAAACAAAAACAAAACAAAAGAGCATGTGGTCACGGTGTCTTTTCACAGCAATAAAAACCAAGACACCCTTCATAACTTAAAAAAAAAAAAAACCCTACAAAACTTATGTATAGAAGAACTGTACTTCAAAACAGTAAATACTATAGGTGATGAAAACCCCCAGTCTATATTATTTTCAGGTGTGTGTCTTTTGTTTATGCTGCACTTGATTAACGTTGTAAAGCTGTGATTCTTTGTCTAAAACACCTGATGGTTTAATAAAGAGCTAAACGGCCAATAGCAAGGATAGGCGGGGCTGGCAAGCAGAGAGTATAAATAGAAGGAGAAGAGAACAAGGAGAGAAAAGACATCAAGGGCCAGCCATCCAGCCAGCCACAGAATTAGAGTGCAAGTAAGATTTACAAAAGAGTAAGATAAGAGCCCAGGGGCAAACTAAGACTGGGAATTCATAAGTAATAATAAGCCTCTCAATGTGTGAGTTACTTGGGAGCTGGGTGGCAGGTCCCTGAAAAAGAACAAAGGCCCAAAGAGTAAACCAACAACCAACAGGCTGACTTTTTTCTTTTGTTTTGGATTACCTATAAAACTTAAGAGTATTCTAGTTCTGTGAAGGATGCCACTGGTATTTTATGCAATGAATCTGTAGATTGTTTTGGACAATGGCAACAATTTTATAATATTCTTCCAATCCAAGAGAGCTCACTGGCCAAAGCCTAGACAAAAAAAAAGGTGAGGTTATTTCTCAGTGAGAAGACCCTGTCTCAAGTCAGTAAGGTAGAAATCAAGAGGGAGATACCCAGCATGTTCCACCAGCATCCATATACACACACACACACAAGTGCAGGTACCTCCAAACTCACATTAATGCATTACACACATACATATAACACACACTTTTAACACACACATACACACAAATTCCACACACATTAACATCCCAGACATACACACAATACACATATGAAAAGTACGCACTTAAACGTATGCATACACCACACATACACCAACCAATACACATTCACAAAACACACAATACCCAAGACATACACACAACACACATATGCAAAGCATATACATATATACTACAAAGCACTACATACATATATACATACATACAGTACATACATACACACAAAAAATACAAACAAAAAAATTATTTTTAAAATTTAAAAAGTAGCTAGGCGTGGTATACATGTCTTTAGTCCCAGAATTAGAGAGGCAGAAGCAGGCAGATCTCTATGAGATCAAGGCCAGCATGGTCTACAAAGCTATTTTCAGGACAGCCAGGGCTACATGGAGGCCCTGCGCGCGCGCACACACACACACACACACACACACACACACACAGAGAGAGAGAGAGAGAGAGCGAGAGAGAGAGAGAGAGAGAGAGAGCGAGAGAGAGAGAGAGAGAGAGAGAGAGAGAGAGAGAGAAACACACACATGCAGAAACACATAGAGAGGTGGGGGAGAGAAAAGGGAGGGAAGAGGGAGGGAGGGAGGCAGGCAGGGAGATTATTTGGGCTTTTGGGAGGGTACACTGCTATGGCGCACATATGAAGGTCAGAGGACAGCTTGCAGTAGTCATCAGTTCTCTCTTTCCACCATGTAGGTCCCAGGAACCAAGCTTATCAAACTTGGAGGGAAGAGCTTTTACCCACTGAGCCATCTCACTGGCCTCTTTAAACAAAGGTTCTCTCTTTCCTCAGCTATCACTTCCAAGCACTGAATTTAATATTTTATCTCTTAAAATTCTCTCAATCTACATTTCTGTTTACATGGAATATTACTTTTATACCACCTCAATATATCTGTCACTCATCATCAACTGCCTTTAAAGCTACCTTCCACTTGTGGGTAGCATCACTATTCTCTCATCCTGGCTACTTCCCGAGTCTCTGCATCACCCACCTTGCCAGATCTTCCACTCTATCTGGGTTTTCTTTGGGGGCAAACTGGCTACATCCTACCCTAACTATCTCTTGCCAATATTTCTGTACCAATTTCCAGGACAGAACATGAAGTCTTAAACATGGTTCAAAAATTTCATCTTTCCAAACCAGCTGAAACCTCTTTCTGCTACCCACTTAAATATAAACATTTACATTTGCAGCCTCTACTTACCATTTACAGCCTTCCCTAATAAGATGTACAAGTTACTTCTCATTCAACCTTACTGGATCTGCACTTACAGAAAAATCAGGTTTCCTACCTTTGTCTTCTCCTTCACCAGTATTTTTTACCAACATTTTATGCCCTGCCTGAATTTCAAGAAAAACTTTCCTAACACTTATCAACCTTCACAGTAATTTACTACAGGCTTACATAACACAACAATATATGCATGTTTCATGCCTGAATTTCCATATCCCGTAACAGTAAGCCTCTGACACATCCTTGCATATTACATGGGAATCACCATTAGTTCCTTTCTATCACCTTCCCTCCAGTTTGTGGTTGTTTCTGTTGGCAGTGCTGGGGATCAAACACGCATGCTAAGCATGTACTGGACTGCTGTGCTCAGCCCAGGCCTCACCCACTATCTCTTTAATGGGTAAAATGTACAAACTCATTTTTCTACCTTTGTAATGGTTCAATTACATTATTTTTCATCAGAATGTATAAAGTATTATATTCTTTCTGTGGTAATTAAGACAGAATTATGCTTTCTCCTCTAGAAAATGACAGTCACAAGAATGAAGCGTTTAACCCAGCCTTCTAAGACCTGTCCTTCTCATAAGGCAGTCTCCTTCCACAGTCATAAAGAGAGCTAAACCCTAAGAAAGGGGAACCAGGCACAGGCTGGATGTTCCCTGATCCTCCCAGCTGAACAGACGCCCGCTGCCAGCTCAGCGCAGCAGGAACTCACATATCCTATTTCCACCACCTAATAAGGGAGAAAGAAAAACAAAAAACTGGATCTCCAGAAGCTGACACCATCTAAATGACTTCCTATATACCTAATAAGGGGGACAATTAAACTTGCATCTCAATTTGATGTGATACTGGAGTGATAGAAAATACAGACAGGAATCCTGTACACCCTTCTGAAGATACTCAACTGCAGTATTATTAACACTTGTTTCTTGCTGTTATTTACCTCACTGTTTTACTTCTGCTAAACAGGACCATAGATGTAGTAGAAAAATTGGGGTGTAGATGATTCTGGAGGTATAGGAAAAATAGTATTTAAAAAGCAAGAATAGGAATACACAGAAGTGTAGCACAAATTTTAGTTGGTATTAGTAATAAAAACCCAGAGACAGATATTGGAGTTAAAGCTGAAAATCAGAGAAGAGAAGCAGCCAGCAACTAGAGAGCTCTCACCTCTACTAATGTTCAGATTGAAGGGGCTATCTATCACCAACTCAGCCTGCCCCTGACTCATTGCTCCTCAGACTCCTGTCTCCTCCCACCTTACATTCCTCTCTAGTGCTGGGATTAAAGGCGAGGGATCCAAAGTGCTGAGATCTCCTTTGTATGACCTGTTTCTCTTTTAGTCTGGATCAATTTCATGTAGCACAAGGTGGCTACATGAACTAACAGAGATCTGCCTGCCTCTGTTTCCTGAGTGCTGGGATTAAAGGTGTGTTCTACCACTGCCTGGCCTCTAACTGTGCTAGCTTTGCACTCTCATCTTTGTAGCATGAATAATAAAAGACTGATATTGGGGTTCAAGCTGAAGATCAGAGAAGCAAAGCAGCCAGGCCAGTAGATCTTACCTCTACAAGGCTGAAATGGCAATCCTGTTTCCATGAATCCTCAGAGGCAAAAGCTCTCAGTTCATGCTCTTCCTGCCTTATATTCCTGTCTCTTCCCAGCCATATCACTCCTGTCTCCACCTCCCTACTGCTGGGATTAAAGGCGTGTGATCCCAGGTGCTGAGATCACCTTTGTGTGGAGTTGTTTCTTTTAGGACTGGATCAATTTTGTGTAGTCAGTATGGCCTTGAACTAACAGAGATCCGTCTACCTCTTAACCCTGGCTCCCGGGATTAAAGGTGTATGCCACCATTGCTCAGTTTCTATAACTAACTGGTATGGCTGCTGAGATTAAAGGTGTATATAATCACTGCCTGATCTCCATAGCTTGTGTGTCTGGCTTTGCTTTTTGTATGCTCAGGAAAGCTTTAATAAATCATAAATATCATCACCGATCTTTAAAGGGACCAGCTCCCCTTTCGACAGCCATAACGGCTGAACACGTGCTTGTCTGACCTTGTCCTAGACACTAGAAAGTCAGATGCCTGCCTCGTGACAAGGAACCAATCAGAAGTTAGCTGGTGGCGCTATGCTTTACGACCCTGGGTGTACTTTACAGACAAGCACACAGCAATGACGCACAGAGCATAGCAACCACCCTGGGAGGACCTTATGGGCCATAACAACCAGTTGACCAATCAACACAGGTCAAGCCCTCCAAGCCTGGAGGCACACCAATCATGAGCCTCTGAGTACCCCTAGACACTCCCCTTACGCTGCCCTACAAGATTTCTCTCTGCAGCCATTCGAGCTGTCTTTTGTAGCCATCCGCCATGGCGGGTGGGTGAAAGACCCGAGCTAACATGGGGTTAGCTAGTTAAATTACAATAAAGCCTCATGCAGTTTGCAACAAGCTCTCGAATCCTCCTGGTGATTGGGGTGACCATGGTCGTGGTCTGGGACCCCAGATACCGGAGTTTTCCAGGGGTCTAACTATCTTCAGACAAGCTTTGTTACATCATAAAATATCACATTTCCCTATGATCTAACATACAAAACTTGCCTGAAGATCAGAGTGCAAAATATTACCACACCAAAGGGAATTCTCTGCGCATAGTGTTCCTTAAGACCTAAGACATCTGGGCAAGATGGCTCAGCAGCTAAAGGCACTTTGCCACCAAGCCTGATCACCTGAGTCCCAGAAAACCTGAAATGTTTCCCTCAGCAAGAGTTAAAGAGAACTCCAAAGATGTAGCTTTCATGAGTCATCACCCAAACAGGCGGAGTTTTAGCTAAAGAAACTGCCTTGGAGCCATCTCTGTTTCTTTAAGTGACCCCTCATTCTTATTCATCACATCTTCAATGAATAAACAAACAAGGTTGGAGAAATGGCTCAGTGCTTAAGGACACTTGGGGATCTTGGAAGAGAAGTCAACTTTGGTTCCCAGCACCCACACTGAGCAGCTCACAGTGCCTATAACTCCAGCTCCAGGGGATCCAAGGCTCTTTTTTTCCTTTTTTTTAAATTAGAAAATTATTTTACATGTCAATCCCAGATGCCTCTCCATCCTCTCCTTCCCTGCCTCCCCAACTAACGCCCTACCTATCCCATACCCTTTCTGCTCCCCAGGGAGGGTGAGGCCTTCCATAGGGGAACTTAAAAGTCTGTCGTATTCTTAGGGATAGGGCCTAGGCCAACCCCCTTGTGTCTAGGCTCAGAGAGTATCCCTCCACGTGGGATGGGCTCCTAAAGTCCATTCCTATGGTACCAATAAGTACTGATCCACTACAAGAGGTCCCATAGATTTCCAAGGTCTTCTCACTGACACCCACATTCTTGGGGTCTGGATCAGTCCCATGCTGGTTTCCCAGCTATCAGTCTGGGGACCAAGAGCTTTCCCTTGTTCAGGTCAGCTGATTCTGTGGGTTTCACCAACCTGAGTCCCAGTTGTGGACCCCGGTTGTGGTGGCGCACACCGGTAGGATTTGCCAACGCTCTCTTCTGGCCTCCACAAGCAAGTAAAGTTAAGTAGCAGGATACAAAGTTAATTCATAATAGCTTTCTTACACACAAATGACAAACACATTGAGAAAGAAATTAGGGAAAGAATACCTTTCACAGTAGATATGATGGCTACTGGAATGAACTATAATCCAGAAATGGAGGGCATAACTTTGAGAGATTATTTTTGCTTGGGTGAAACTACTCTGGTCTGGATCTTTGAGGTAGAACGCATACACCTTTGATCTGGATCCAGAGTCAAGAAGACACAGCATTTGATTGGGATCTTGAGGTGGGAAGACACACCTTTAATCTGGGCCACACCTTCTGCTGGAAGCTTATATAAGGACATGGAAAGAAGCTTTTGCTCTTTGCCTGCTTGCTCTCTTCCACTTAAATTAGAGCCTACTTCTTTAAATTCCAACATCTACTGACCAGCTGAGACATCCAGCCTCATCGATTAAGCAATTACTGAATTCTTGAACTTTCCAGTCATAGCCCACCATTGCTGGATTAGTTGAACTGAGGCCTGTTGAGTCAGAGAGAGAGAGAGAGGGAGAGAAAGAAAAGAGATTCATTCTGTAAATTCTGCTACTCTAGAGACCCTGTATGTATGTATGTAAAGAGTCTCATTCTGTAAGTTCTATTACTCTAGAAAACACTGTATGTATGTACATGTGTGTGTATGTATTATGTATTTATATAAAGAGATTTATTCTGCAAGTTCTGCTACTCTAGAGAATGCTATTACTACAATAGCCTTTTTTAAAAAATCTCAATAAAATTAGAATAACAAAGCAAACAAAAGACTTTTATAATAAAAACTTTAAGGACATTTAAGGGAGGAAGTAGAAAAAGCTACCAGAAGATAGAAAGATGCTCCATGCTTATGGGTTGGTAGAATTAATATTGTGAAAAAAGCCATTCTTCCAAAAGCAATCTACAGATTCAATGCAATCTGCACCAATGTCTCAACACAACTGTTTAACAAAAACTAAAAAAAAAAAAAATCTTAAAGTTCATATGGAAACAAAAAACCCAGGATAACTAAAAATTTAATAATAAAAGACCTGCTCATCGCCATTACGGATTTTAAGTTACACTACAAGGCTATAGTAATAAAAATAGTATGACTTTGCCATGAAAACAAGACGTATTACTCAAATGAACAGAACTGAAGAGCGGAACAAAAACTACATACCTATCTTCACCTGTTTCTTGTTTTGTTTTGTTTTGTTTTACAAAGAAACCATACACACTAGAGAAGAGACAACATCATCAAATGGTGCTAGCCAAACTGGACAATTGCGTGTGGAAGAATTAAAATAGATTCCTATCTACACTCTGCACAAAATTCAACTCCAAATGGATTAAGGACCTTAAACATAAGACCTGATACACTATTCCTGAGGGCTGAGAAACACTTTTTAAATGTTCAATATTCTTAGCCATCAGAAAAATGCAAATTAAAACAACTTTGTGATTTCATCTTACCTTAATCAGAATGGCCATTACAAAACGGATTATTGTGTAAGAAATATGTTAAAGAAATATGAAATGTACAGGTAAGTGTATGGAGCTAGAAATAGGTAACCAAGAACCAGAAAGACAAGCACTGTGTGCTGTCTATTAGCGTTTAAGCTTGGATACGTATACTTCACTGAGAATATCCAGAAGCTAGGAAGCTAATAAAGGACCAGGATGAAAGATGGGAGCTCCAGGGAAGGAAAAATAAGAGTATAGCATCATATAGAAATAAAGGGAAAGTTAGAACAGGAGGATTCAATGGGGGTAGGGGCTAAGATGGTAGGGCAGATAACAGAATATGGGGGAGAATAATTAACACTAAAAGTCTTTTGTATTTTTTAATGTGTGTACATATATTTGCTGTTGTTGTTTTGGTTTGGTTAGGTTTTTTGTTTTTTTGAGACAGGGTTTCTCTATGTAGCTCTGGCTGTCCTGTAACTCACTTTGTAGACCAAGCTGGCCTCAAACTCACAAGAGATTACCCCTGCCTCTGCCTCAGGATGGTGGGATTACAGACTTGCACCACCACTGCCTGGCCCTGAAGGCCGTTTTTAAAAGCTATATTGAAGCCTATTAGTCTAGAATCTTACATATATTTTATACACGCACGCATGCACACAGTTTAAGCATATCATATAATGGGGTGATAATACCCTAATTAGATATCATATGCTACCAAATAAAACTCTCCACTACTAGGAATGGTTGAGTTTTGTTGTTGTTGTTGTTGTTGTTGTTACTGTTGTTTTTTGAGTTGTTGGTCAAAAGAGTCCTAAATGCCCCCCAAAAAACATTACAGGCTATTGGCCAATGTTATTGGTCCCCTTCCATAACCTAACAGTAAGACCCTATTGCTGAAGACGCTACGTACTTATAGAACGTGAAAAAAATCAAGCTGGTACTCAAGGGAAGGAAGCTTCACCCCTATTGTCTAGTGATCGATCATGCTGCTGGAAGGTGCCATACATGCCACTAGAAGACTAGAGAGAAATGTAGTAATTATCAGTCTCACTCAGCTACAAACCCTGAGAGCTATAATAGCAACCTGCCTGAATGATGTGCTGGATGGTGCTAGAGTGGCACATGTTAGAACAACCATAGTGTCTCTCTCTGTTTTTTAAACTGGACTTAAGGTGCACTCCCGGAACCCATACCTGACACCGTTATAAAGCCAAGAAACTAAGACTAAATACCTATGGAAAAGCCTACTAATCTATTATTCAGCATAGCAATGAAACAACTCCTAATAACATGTTGCTATACCCACAGATCCATGCATCACTAAAACCTCATAGAAGCTCCTTCTTGCAGTAGATGGTCATTAACAGAGACCCAACACCTCCCCACAAGTGGATGATGTGCAGAAAGCAATAGACTTTGGAACACTCAGGTGTAAATGGGATGTTTTTAATCACATCCCTCCCCTCAGGGCTCAATGGAGAAGAGGAGGCAGAAAGACAGTAAAAGCTAGAAGTGGTGGGCAATACTGTGACAACAGACATGCACAAGACCTGCACAAAATCCCAACACATAAAGAAGGGGAAGTGGGCACAAATTCCCATCCCTAGCCAAGAAGGACAGCAGCTGGAGAGAGAGAGAAAATCAAGTTTTCTTTCACCATGCTCAGAAATTATTGGCTAACACTAACCAGTCTCCATGTTATTGCTGGGGGTTTTTGTTTGTTTGTTTCTTCTTTTTGTGTTTTTTTTTTTTAAAAAAAAAAACACAGAGAATGTGAAGTTGTGTGGGTAGGAAGGTGAGGGAGCACCTGGGAGGAGTGGGGGAGGAGAAAGAAAATAATTAAAATGTATGAAACTTTCAAAAAATAAGAACATTAAAAAAAGGCGAGAGGAATATAAACAAGGATTTTTTTCTTCACAGATTATAGTACTTACAATAGCAAATGTAATAAAATGAATTATGCAGGGATATAAATTCATCTTTCCTCCAACCTATGCTTTGTTAGGTTTCTTCTTCTGCTTCTAGGTTATAACAAGAGATGGGAAAGGCACTGCTCTGTTAATGTCTAAGTGTTAAAACAGTTTATTCTCAAATATTAAAAAGAATTCATTTTGTTTGGCATACTGGTACACACTGAGCACTGGGGAAACAGAGGCAGAAGGATATCAAGTTTGAGGCCAATCTGAAATATAAATATAAATACACACACACACACACAGAGAGAGAGAGAGAGAGAGAGAGAGAGAGAGAGAGAGAGAGAGAGAGAGAGAGAGAGAGAGAGAGAGAGAGAGAGAAAGAGAATGAATATATCTCCTGACTGGGAAAAAATTCAGTTCAACTTAACATCATAACTTCAATTATGCTAAATCTCTACTTCTGACCTAAACAGGAAATTCTATAAAACTGCCTTTACTATTATTCTAAACTACCCCCCCAGTCTCCCTACCCATTTCATTTTGTTGCTTCTAGATTATTCTTCTCTTCCAGGATGAGAAAATCATGACAAAGAAGAAGAAGAGTAATGACAGGGAGTCTTTTTGTAGTGTAGCTATGCTCTGGAAAGATACTGTCAACACTCCATAACACTGAACTTGACCTTCATGTGCAGCTCAGAGACCATTCTTAACTGAGTGGTACTCTGAATGCTCTGGCTAGCATGCCATACTTTCAGTCTCAGTTACAATACAAAATAATTAGAGTTAAAGCCTTCTATTTAGACAAAAAGGGGGGAATGTTGTAGGATATTTGTACACTGTGTGAAGATACATTGCTGTGATTGGTTTAATGAAGAGCTGAACAGCCAATAGCTAGGCAGGAGGTATAGGCAAGACTTCTGGGCAGAGAGAGAAGTAGGAGAAGGAATCTAGGTGCAAGAGAGACGCCAACAAGACAAAGAGGGAGTAGGACATACACAATGAAAGAATGGTTAAAGGGTTCGTCATCGTTGCTCAGAGTCATCTGACAGGAGCGACCTGCTTCCCAAACCGAGGCCCAGTGACAGCTCTGGCTCCAACTGCAGGCCCGGCGGGGCCCGGCACACCTGAACACTGCCACCGCCTGGGTAACAGTGACACCTCCATCCACAAGAAGAGGACCGACATCAGAGTATTGGATCTGTCTGCATCTACCAGAAGAGAACCTTGGTCCCACCGCCACCAGGAGAGCAAGAAACTGTTGCTATACCACCAGAAGAAAGGATGAGAAGAGGACAAGGTAAAAGCACATTCAACAACAGAAAACCAAATATGACACCACCGGAGACTAGGAACCATACACCAGCAAGACCTGAACATCACAATGCAGATGAAACAGAAGAGAATGACCGTAAAAGCATCTTCATGAAAATGAGAGAGGGCCTCAAAGAGGATATGAGAAAATCCCTTAAAGAAATGGAAAAAACAAACCAAAAAATACAAGATATCAACAAATCTCTCAAGGAAACAGTGTAAGACCTAAAAACTGAAATAGAGACAATAAAGAAAGCACAATCTGAGGGAATGCTGGAAATAGAAAAGCTGGGTAAACGATCAGTAACTACAGACGTAAGCATAACCAACAGAATACAAGAGATGGAAGAGAAAATCTCAGGAGTTGAAGACACACTAGCAGAAATAGATTCATCAACCAAAGAAAATATTAAGTCGAACAAATCCCTAACACAAAATATCCTGGAAATATGGGATACCATGAAAAGACCAAACCTAAGAATAATAAGTACAGAAGAAGGTGAAGAAATCCAACTCAAAGGCGCAGAAAACATATTCAACAAAATCATAGAAGAAAACTTTCCCAACCTAAAGAAAGGCATGCCAATGAAAATACTAGAAGCCTACAGGACACCAAATAGACTGAACCAAAAAAAAAGGTCTCCTTGCCACATAATAAAACACAAACACAACAAAGAGAAAATATTAAGAGCAGCAAAGGAAAAAGGTCAAGTAACTTATAAAGGCAAACCTATCAGAATCACACCTGACTTTTCCATGAAAATTCTGAAAGCCAGAAGGTCCTGGATAGGTAACCCAATCACAAAAAGACAAACATGATATATACTCACTCATATGTGGATTTTAGACATAGAGTAAGGGATTACCATCCTACAATCCACACTGACAGAGAAACTAGTAAACAAGGAAGACCCTAAAAGAGACAAACTTTGTCCCCTGGAGAAGGGGAAAGGGTCACCATCCCCTGAGCAAATTGAGAACATGGGAAGAGAGGAGAGGAAGCTATGAGAGTGAGAAGGGAAGAAAAGGAAGGATGCAGAGGTCATGAGGAAGCAGAAAGATTGAGTCAGGTGTAGATTAGAAGAAAGGATATGTGATAGGTAGGATTTTAGTTGGGGGGGTGGTAGAGGAGGAAGGGGGGGAGAAGGGAACTGGGATCGTCATGTAATTCAATCTTGTTTGTGATTCAAATATATAAAAAATAAAAAACTAAAAAAAGAATATATGTCATAGTAAAATTATGAGATATCTTTAGTAATAATAGATTGTATAGACACTGGGGAGGGGAGCAGGAGTTGTGTCGGGAATTCATGTGTCAACCCTTAGTACCTGGCACAGGGACTGCACAAAAAAAGATGTTCAATAAATGCTTGTGGGATTGGATTGTCTCTAAATAAATAAATAAATAAATAAATAAATAAAACAGCATCATCACATTAAAAAAAAAAAAAAGAATGGTTAAAACGCCACATGGTAAAACATACATTAATAGAGCTGGGCGTTGGTGACACAAGCCTTTAATCCCAGCACTCAGCAGGCAAAGGCAGGCAGATCTCTATGAGTTCAAGGACAGCCTGGTCTCCAGAGCGAGGGCCAAGATAGGCTCCAAAGCTACACAGAGAAACCCTGTCTCGAAACAGCAAAAAAAAAAAAAAAAAAAGTGAGATCAGCACTTCCTCTACACTCTAGAGCAGAGGGTCCTCACACTAGTCTTCTCTGTCTTCTCTCTTCTGATTGTCTTTAACCATCAGGCTTTTCTCATGGAAAAAAAATCAGAAAATAGTTTTCTTGCCCCAT